TGTCCGACACACGCCGGCTGATTTTACCCTCCACCTGCAGCACTTTGCTCCCACTGACCAATCACACACGGGATGTTGTCCACTCTCTTTTGGGGTCTCTCTGATTGGCTGTGTAGCTTTCTTTACATTACTTATTTCTGGACTTGCTGAAGGATGTCAATGTTTAATTCTAAATGCTTTATATCGAAATAAAGTTTTTAAAAATCTAAAAATGAAATTGACTCGTCTAATACATTTATAAGGGATTCTAGTATGTTGAGAAAAAGACCAAAATATGAGAATATTCGACCAAATTGGCTGGAGTCTAGTCCAGCTACTTTCATAGCTGAAGCAAAAATGTAAAATGAAATTAGGAAATCATTTCAAATCAACTGGAAGAATTCTAAGTAGTGAAGGAAAACTTTTTTCCCCTCCTTTCACTATCTTTAATGAATGAAGGCTTTATTTCAAACATTTGATAGCAAAAGTATAAAATGAAATGAATTAAAACAGTTTAAACAATCGCTTCCCCACTTGGCGATTAATTGTTAAATAATTCAATTTAAACTTAATTGCTTCTTAGCAGCAGTTTTGAAGCATTTACAAAGACAGCTCGTGGTTTAATATACCTTTATTCCACAAATTATCATCACATTTTATTTTACAGACAGCTTTTTAAAAACAGATTACCGGTAATACTTACTGGGATTAAGCCATTTGCGCATTAAGCTAATATTTGGTTCACAGGTGTTCACACCTGAGAAACCTAAAATAAATATGAACACACAGCAGAGCAGCTGGAGAGCTTATTGTTTACATACGACATGTGTGTTATATTACTTAAACAGAGCAATGAAGAACAAAGACGAGGACAAAAAAAGAAGACGTGCTCCAGGGTCTTTCTTTTTAAATTTTCCATTTAAATGTGGGCGTTGTGCTTTAAAAGGTGTCGACATGTCAATAAACAGCTATCTAATTCTCACGCATTGGACACGATCCAACAGCGGCTTCAAGTAAATAGAGAAGCACAGAATTTAAACTGTAACATTTTCTCTGGTATTACTGGTGTGATCTGGTCTAACAGCTCACAGCAAGCCCACGTCTGTGTGGAAAATCACACACACACACCGGCCAAATCAACCTGACACTGGATTTGAGCCGCAAAGAGATGGTAGTGTGTCGTAAACGGAGGGGAGATCGACTTCTTGTTGAGAATATGTCTTCCACTCACAACATGGAATGTTTTCTCACACTGGCCACCATTATGAACACCATTATGGTTAGATGAGCTTTAAGTTCGGTTGCAATGAGCTCTAAAAATGCTAATTGACTTTAAAAGCTAATTGACGCAACCAAAATGAGTTGTGAGTGAACATAAATTAAGTTATAAATTAGTTTTAAAGCTAAATGAGTTAGCTTTAAAGCTAATTGACAGCCAAGATTATAGACTAAAGAACATGAATTAGTAATAAATTAGCTTTAAAGCTAAATTATTTAGCATTAAAGCTAATTAACAAGTGAAATTAGTGGCTAATGAACAATAGCCACATAATTAGTGACTAACCGAAATTAGCCACCTGACACTGTGACCCATAACTAAAAAGATTGAGTTAGATTTTCACTGTTTCTTTATAACATTTGACATTTATGCAAGGCAGCAGTTCCACCATTAGTCATTAAAACTGTGAGCATGCAGCTTTTGACCACTAAATTGACTTCTTTTACCTAGGTTTCCATATTGACATTTAGCGCATTAAGCTACCGAATGACTTCATTTTTTTTACTATATATTGTAGCAGCATAGGATTAAAAAAAAGTAGGTGATATCTAATTTATTTTAACAGATAAAATGTACTAATGCAGATCTGTGATAAATACTAAGTGACTTCTGTTTGAACTGGAATAGTTCTAAAAAATGATCTCACACCTTAAGAATAAAAAAAAAACAAAAAAAAAAAAACACTGCAATGATTTTAGTACTGCTTAGTCCTTCCACCCTGAGTGCAAACATTAGTGTTCCAGTCGATTAGTGATACCTTTGGGATTAAAACGACCTACCGGCGAACCGCTTTAGCTTAATACAAAACGACTTGACAACATTCACATTCAACGATAGTTCAAGTTCTAACTGTGAGGTGCCCCACGCCTCAGAGGAATGTCGACAGGCTGAGCTAACACAAAAAAAGAAAAACAAATGGCAAATGTGGGTGTCTGCTGGGATCTGACTGGCTCCTCTAGCTAAACATGCAACATTTCTGGCTGACTGACCGCACAATAAATACACAAAAAAAGGAGGAAAAAAGCCTTTCCAGGATGTCCCTTACATTTCAGCAGTTAGTTTGGTTGAGATGAAATCTTCTGAGTGGACTCTGAGGGTTAGAAAGGTCTGTAGTTCCAAAAACTTGAGAAGACGGATATCTGCAAGAATAAGGAGGAAAAATAATAGAATTTATATATTCAATTCTTATACATACAAACTAAAACAACTAGAGGTCTTGTTAATAGTTAACTTTTTGTAGCTATTATCTGATAATCATCTTAAGTATTATCTTTTTTTTGCTTTTAAAGTATTATAAACATCCTTTGAAAAATAACGGTAACTTTATGTAACTTCTGAGCCACAGAAATCTGCAGAAAAAAATGAAAATTGAAGCATATTTGAGAGAGTTTTAAAACGATTTTTAGTTTGAAGAACCATTTTATAACCACTAGTGAAGCCTTCTATTCTCTGAAGATTCAAAGGAAAAAACATCTTTAAAAAATGTTTAAAAAATAAAAATCAGTGAGGATTATTGCGATATGTGCTATCATGGTGTTTTTCATTGTGTGTTTTCTCTTCTTATAAAAGAACAAAGTGTAATGATTATACATATACGTTCATATATGTCTCTTACTTTTTTTTAATAAACAAAGAACCAGAAAAAGGAAAGTAAATTAAAAAATAAAAATGAACAAATAAATAATAAATAAAAAATAAGTTTTAAATGATAACGATAATAAGAATTAGTGAAATAAATACAGTCAAAGATAAATGGGTAGATGAAGTGGATGAAGGACTGCTGCTGTGGGGCTCGTTACCCACCTTGTCCTTGAGCTGCTGGCAGAGCTGGAGGGAGATGGTGAAGAACACCAGCGTGTCGTTGAGCCAGGGCACCACACACTCCACTTTGTGGACGTGGCTCACTTCAAAGCGGTTGTTGTTGAGCTCACTGTGCCAAAGAGAGCGTACGACCATCAGCCAAATGCAACACGCAAAATGTCCACTCTGTTATGGTGTAGTTCATATCAAGGCTGTCATAGTAACAATAAAGATAAATTATGTCATGTTCTGCTAATTTCATGGCATACTGTAAATACTGTTGGTCACCCCACCACACAGGAGGATGACGCTCACGTGGGTCCTGCAGCAGTATTCAAATAAAGGTGGACACAAACATGGCTGACAGCGTTACTGCCAAAGAATTCATTAGCAAGAAAGCCCAGCAAGCACTACTCAACCAAAACACCGTAAGCTAGTTAGCATGGCATCGCTGAGTCACTCGCTAGCTGAACAAAGTTAATTTTTCTCAGGTTGGGCGTTTGGCTAAAAAAAACCTGTGCGTCCAAGCCACTAGTGCATCCTGTGAAAGGCTGGAACATTTTCACCTGTAACGGGTCAGAGCCGAGTCCTGCCTCAGTGAACAGGCTTGTGTTCTTCAGTAAGAATCTGAAACTTTCTGAATGATCATAACCAGCTATATTCTGCTAATGATAAGAAATCCTTTCAGGCAGCATTTAATTTTTAATTTTCAGCATTTTATGACAAGTTTTGGAAGTTGTACCTCATTTAAAGGGGACATATTATGCAAAACCAAGTTTTTAATCATTTGATTCTGTACATTTGGGACTGTGGAGGGCCTATCAGCAGGCAAAGTGTGAAAAAAATGACTCAGTCATGTGTTTGTGGGCTGCCTCAGTCTGAATCCAGGAGATAAATCAGGAGGTTTCAGGAGTGGGTAGTTTCTGACCTCATTAGCTCTAGCTCATTATAATATTCCAGCCTTTCACCTGCATGTTGCCCCCCCCCCCCTCAGCTTACTCCCCTATCTGTGGAGATGTCGTGGTAGCGTCAGCGTTAGCATGGTAGCGTTAGCATGGTAGCGTTAGCATGGTAGCGTTAGCATGGTAGCGTTAGCGTGCCGACGTGGGCACACCTCCCGGAAGAAGTGGGTGGATTGCCTGTGTCTCATTTGCATTTAAAGAGACAGGCACTCCAAAGCGAGCGCTCTGAACGGGGCTGTTTTGGGTTAGGATTAGGGTTAGGGTTAGGGTTAGGGTTAGGCAGGGGGACTGAACTGCTATTGGGCTTCATCCTTATGGGATTCTGACCAAAGCTTGTCACAGACATTACATTAGGACACCAGGGAGCTAGTTTAACTTGTTGAAATAGGGTACGTCTCCTTTAAAGGAAACATATATTTTGTTGTATGTTACATTTATGCTCAAAAGATCTTTAGTTAGTTTGTTTTTTTGGAACTGCACTTAAGTTTTTGTGTTGGATTTTGTTTCTCTATATTTTGCGCAGGCTTTTTCAATCTAAATAACAAAAGTAGAATTTTTTACTTTTTATTTTTATACTTCGAGAGTGAATATTTTACTAAATAAAGTAATTTTAGTAAAATTAACCAGTTTGAAAAAAAAAGTTTTTATATAATACTGCAAAGCAACCTTCAATGTAATTTTGTCAAATAAATAACTCTGATTTATGATTTTTCTTTTTTGTTAAATAAATATATACATTTATTGTGATCGCGAAAATGTTCTGAAATATAATGATATTATGTTTGAGCCATATCGCCCACCCCCAGGACATATGAACTTTTAATGCTGCAACGCTATGCCTGCATTTAAACAAATTGGTGAATCTGATAATTGATAAAGCAAAGTGTGCATCAATGAGAGAGAGTTGGATTGAAAAAAGCAGACATTTGAAAAAAATAAAAAAGACTTACAACATGGCTCCTGGGTTGTGCAACACCGAGCTTCCTGCTGGCTTGAAATTCTAAGTGAACGAGAGAGAAAAACATGAGGAAGTGGTGCGGAGAACCGCACTGATCTGATGGGGAAACGCTGAATGCAAACGTTTGTCTCACCTTGGTGGTGTTGGGAGGCAGGACATGGAGCTGGTAGACGGTCAGGCACAGTTTGCTTAGGTTGATGTAGAAGTTGACCATCACGTCGCCCGGCATGGGAGGAGAGAACATTTTCTGGTGATGAGTGGAGAGAGAGGACAGGCCATGGTACAGTGATACCAGACATGGCTAGGTAGGTAGGTGGGTAGGTGGATAGATACCATCAGACCGCTGGTGGCCAGCTCGGTCAGTGTGAGGGCCGCCGGTGTGGTGAGGCGGTTCCGTGCTCGGGTCAGCTGCAGCATGACTGCATCCATGAGCTGCACACAAACATAAAGCTGCATCAGGAAAGCTCTACGCTCTGCTCGGCCAGTCCACAGCTGGACCTGGCCTCAGCCGTCCAGGACAGATGTACCTTATTGATCTCGGCGCCCGTCTTGAAGTGGTAGCTGTCGTCCCGGCTGCTCAGCAGCTGCAGGGCCTGGCTCACATGGTTCCTGGCATCTTGGATCTAAGAGGCACAGGTTGAAGGATTCAGATTATTATTAAAGTCTGCACACATAACTGTGCAAAAGTTGTGTATTTTTTGGCATCAATTAATTAATGAAGAGAGACAAAACATCATTCAGTGCATTTTCTGCTTAATTTAGGAATCACCTTGAAAATTCAGTTATAAACACAAACATACATATACATATATATATATATATATATATATATATAGACATAATCAAATGTAAAAAGTACCTGCTGCAGTTTCCACTGCTTGTCCTCTCTTAACTGAAAATGGAGCACTTGGCTGCTCTTTGCAACCTTCAGGTTTATGTCCTGTTAAGGGTTAAACATTAAGGGACAAACATTCCTCTCAAATCAATGTATCACCATTACAAAAAGGGAACTTCAGCCTTCTGAGGAACAAAGCGAGCTCACAGCCTGAGTCAGAGCCTCTCCCTGCAGAGTCAGCACCCCCTTCACCTGATCCATGCTGCAAAACACACACAGTTCCATCCCAGTTACAATCAAACAAACTCGCTCTTTTTCACAATTCAAAGTGATGTAAAAGACATGTGACACAAAAAACATCACGTGTTATCCTATGCATTGACTGGGGCTCAAAGTACAAATGCTAGCAGTCTTTTTAGAATGAGCGCAGCAGCGTGTTGTTGGTTAAAACAGGATAAGATACATTGACTTTGGGATTTGGAAGACATGTGACCAGACTGGGTTTGGGGGCCTTTGCTCTGATAGTCGGCAAAATAATTGGCATAATTGGCATATTGCAATTTGATGGAAACCATCATTCTACCATATCTGAAAAACAGAGTAACAATTCAAGTCGATTTTACTTTGTAAAGTGATGAAAAAAGAAAAAGGCATTACAATTAATCTAAATAGTCATCAAATGGTAAGGTTTTACACTGATGTTCCTTAAAAAAAAAAGCCTATTGCTTATTGACATATACTATTCTCTGCTGTTAGATTCCACACTGACACTGGAGACTCAACAAAATATTGGGAGGGTTTCTGCTCATGGTCATGCAAAAAAAAAAAAAGACTACCTGTAGAATGTATTGCTAAAGCTCTTTAAAAAAGTTTAATGAGTCTGATTGATGTAATTATTTTGTTTGATATTAATACCTCCCATATGTAAAAAAACAAAAAACAAAACAAACCCACACAGGTCAGCAGAAATGTACAGAAAGCAGTTATCAGCACACTGTAGCTCCCTCAGGAGATGTTTACACCCCTATCTGATTCAATTATCCAGCAGAAATGTCCTGAATGAAACATTTCCACACTAATGTTCCCACATTAAGGTGAAAACGGCCACAGGACCTCTTAAAATGGAAAAAGGGAAAATGGATTTGGAGTTTTACGTTGAGCTGCCGAGGATGAAGTTCTCCTGCTTGAGCTGACTCTCCAGGCCTGGTGTCAGCACAGAGAAACGTCTGGAGGCTTCCTGTTAAGAGAGAAAAGCAAAAAACAAACAAAAATTGTAATTAATTTCAAAGATGAGAAATGAGTCCTTTGAAGGTGGTGCAGAGTTTACCTTCAGGACATCCTGGAGCTGCTTTAGGACTGAATGCACTTCTTCTTTCAGCAACCAGTTGAACTCCTCCTCCTGTCAAACGCATGGAAAAACAAACTGAATTGGCAACAGGAAACTACAAAGCGGTGTTAACCTGTCTGATTGGTCTGTCCTGTGTGGGGAACTCCATTGACAGATGGACTTTACAGGAGGAAGCTGTTGTAACTATAGATCACAATTAAAATTCTGAATTAGGCTTTTCTAAAACCACAGAACCAAAGAGTGACCAATCCTAGAGTAGTGTTGGCCTTAAAAAAAAATGTAAAGCATGTTTTAGCACCATGTTAAGGTCGTTATACAAATAAATTGTGTTTTAATCATATAGGGAAGGTTTGCAACTACCGTATTTTCCAAAGTACAAGTCACACCAGTTTTATATCCATAATAAGGAGAAAATAAACCATAAATAAGTCACACTGGACTATAAGTCACATGGACACACAGGTATGTTAACACGAAAACTTCAGATGATAATATGCTTGTCGTACTACAGTGCCCATGATGCATTGCATTTCAGTTTCCACTCTGGATTATAGCTTGCATGTTTAAGTTTTTTTTTTTTTGGCTTTATAGTCTGAAAAATACTGTATTTATCCTTTGCATATTTATGTAAGATATTAGGGGGGATTTTGCCACAGCCAAAGTTTCCTGCATTGTTTGCGATCTCCTGTTTTCCCATGTCGGAGGCTTGTTTTTACCAATTCTGTGCTAGCATAATGCATCTCTCTTTACTGTAACATAAAGCCGGCTCAGCTTTTAGTGGTGAGGTGAGCTGTTGTTTGTACGTGGCGGCCCGTGGAATTCCTCTGGCATTGTAAACATGAAGGTGGTTACACAGTTCTCTCCTCGGTTTTACAGCGTTCGATCACTGTGTGCGAATGGGGAAATTACGCCCCTTCACAGCTAGCATGACCTGAAATCCAGTCACCGTTTAGATTTTTTTAATAGAAAATATTTTGGACTGAACTTTGACTCATCCCTCCTCTCTGTTGAGTTTCCTTTAGGTAATTTATTATTGCATTAAAAAGCACTTTTAGACATTTTTATATTTGAAAATTCCTGTCATTATTTGGATATCTAAGGCTAGCCATATAGAATACATTTGTCTTCCCCACATGACTGATTTAAACCTCATCTCCAACATTACCTCTTTCCTACAGCAGCTGTTGTGGGTCATCCTCCTCCTTCCACCTCACTGTGGCCTCTCAGCACCATGAGGAGTAGAGCAATTCTCAATGATTCAAAGTGCATAGAAAAGAGTGGGAAGTTTTCAGCAACAGTCTGTTAAATAAGCCGTATTGAGAGACGGATAGCCGAAGGCCCCGTTTTAATTGACTATTTTTCGTTTGTCAGATTACTATAAAAATGACTTAAATGCACTAAGTATCATGAGCGTTGAGGTTGCTACTACATGAACAACCCTCTTTCTCAGGGGTTCAATGAAATGTACAAAGAATAAACAAGGTCATCCATGTAAAACTCTCATTTATTCTTTCTGAGTTAACATAAGACTGAAGTCTACCTCCATGGGATTAGCCAAAGCACACGCTCCCTCTTTTGGGATCTTTTTTTTCCAGATCATTGTCATGCATTTTGGTGGACATGCCATTCCATCGGTGATGGCTCGGTAAGTTCCTGTCTTACAGAATAAAAATGGCTGCTTGTTTTTTTTTTAATGTTTCATAATCAATAAAAGCATCGTCTTGAGTCGACTCCCCAACAAGGTGCAGCTTTCCAGGCTACTCCTGCATGTGGTCCTACTTTGGAGGAACGACCAACGAGGTGCTACCAGAAAACGGTAGAACTTGGTGTATATATGTATTAAAAAAATAATAATTCTGATAAAAACGTCAAATTATATTTGAATTATTATACTTTTTGGATATCTGATTGAATGCTGGATCTGCTGAAATGTTAAATGTAAACAAAAACACACAAAAAAGAAAAAGTTAAACAAAAAGTTAAATGGAAAAAAAAGATGAATTGAAAAAAAGTTAAATGTAAAATCAACATTATTAAATGTTAAAAAATTTCAATGCAAAATAAGTTGTTAAATCGAAAAAAACTTGTTCAAAAACGTAAAAAACCTTGTTAAATGTAAATGAATAAAAAAAGTTTAATGTATTAAGTCATTAAAAAAAGTTGTCAGCAAACAAACCAAAATGTTAAATGTAAATGAATCAATAAATAAAAAATAGCTTTGTTAAATCCAGAAAATGCAGAATGGAGCTCCCAGTCAAAAATAAAGTCAGACCAAAGAAGAAGAAAAAAATAGAACTTTCCTGGCCTTTGAGCTATTTACACAGATAACAACACTGCGTTTTAAAGCCACAGAACTGGTTAGAGCTGTTCACGATCCAAAGAGAACAAATCAAATGCCTCTTTGGCGATGATTTGGGGTGAACAGGACCAAAGCGGAGATGTTTTGCCACAATACACCGACATATAGCATCTCAGGTCAAACGTCAGTGGGAAATATGATTCGGGCCTCGTTTTGAAGTCTTCAGAACACCAAATTGTTCCAGTGAATTCAAACAGGAGAAAATGTGTCTGGAATCCAAAGCTAGACTCAAATGTAGTCATGCAACAGGACAACTGAGCAACAGAGAGGCCGTGGGATCAATAAAGGACTCTAATCTAATCTAAAATAGTTTAGCTCTTAACCTGATGTGACTACTGTGGAGGGGTGTTACAGAACTGTACCAGCTAAGTGAATTAAAGCAATATAGTGGAGAAAGATTCCTTCATCATTTGTGATACTAGTGATAGAAACTAATAAAAAGTTAAATAAAATGTAAACAAATAGTTTAAAGTTATTTCTACTAGTAGAGCTTTTCCTACAATATATTTAGAGAGACCAAAGAAAGTACTTGTATTCACACCTTTGAATTTTTTTTAAGGAAATAAACAATGTCAACGGTATATGACGTCACGTGATTTTAATTTTTTATCTACTTTTGACCCCTTCACCTTCTGGACGCTCAAATGGCAAAACTAGCAAGATAATTAATATCCAACAGACATAAAACATTTTTAAAAAGTTCATTCTTTGTTCAAACTTTTTTTAAATGTCCCCAAAAGAAGCGGTTTTTAATGAGACGGTTGGTCGTGGTGAGTTTAACGTCGCTAGTGACAGCTCGGATTATTTCAGACTGTTTAAAGCTGAACGTGTTCCCACGGCGGGCCCACCGGTTGTAAACATCCCAGCTTAGCACCCCCAGCCCCTCCACACCTTCAGCACTGGTTTAGCCCCCCACGGGGCTCCTTTAGCTCCCGAAATACAGCTGGACTGGACTGTACTGCCTCCAATTTTGTACGGGAAACCATTTATCAAACCTGACATGCTAACTGACAGAAGTCATTTCGGGGCGGGGGGGCTAGCCACGCAGCCCTGCCTCTTAGCGGGGATGCGGTACGGATACGTCGGCTGAGGGGCTTACCAGCACGGCTCTCTCCACCTGGCTCGCGGCAGACATCTTCGGCAACTCGGACAGGGACCTCTGAGGGTTCAGCATTTTTATGGCTAACGCAAACCCCGCGCTGACAATCAACACTGCCCTTTTTATTTGGCAGAAAAATACCTCTCCGTCTACTAGCTTAAGGGAGGGTGTGTTGCCTTCAGGACTAAAGGAAAAAATTGTAATATCCTTTACTCTTCTAAAATCAGTCCTAAATACGAAGAGGAACGAATCCAAATGGCACACATTTGAAACGTATTTGAAAGTCCAAATTTGATATGATTTCAGGTAAATAATATTTAGATTTCTTCTGTCGAGGTTATTCAATGTTGTCCTACACAGCTGTTAAGTATAAACTCTTCGTTTTTGGTAAGATAAAGATCAGAAGCTTTCACATCGTTCAACAAGTTGATATGTTCTATGTTATCTGTATATTTATATTGATATGTTATAAGTTGGTGTTAATTAATTCCAACTGAGCAACTTCGAAGAGGTTAGTTTTAGATTTACGACCGCCTGAATGCATCATAAGGCTGGTCACGCATTCGCTATTAAAATGGGCCCGCCCACTAAATCTTACGGGGGGGGGGACACTTCTTCCGCCCAGCAGAGCAGAAGCTCTCAGCTGCTGCTCAATATTCATAGGACAGGGCAGAAGTTAGTTTTTGGTAGCATTTAGATGGAAAAGCTTTGAAGTTTGCATTCAGAATAGTTTATTTCATGTAAAAGTTTAGTTGTATCTATGTTTATTTTTTTCAAACTCATGTGGACCCGTCCGTCGCACACCTTGAGTATTTTATGATAATTAAATAGATTATCAATGAATTAACTCAATTGTTTTATTTCAGTTTGATTAATTTATTATAGGAATGCTCCAACCAGCTGCCAATACTGATAACCAATGAGTGCCAATCACTGCTTATCTATGATGCCTATCACATGATCTGACTGTACATTTTTAGCTTTTGTTAGAAGTCTTAAAGCAACCATAAAATCGGCTTAATTTAGACAACAAAAAAGTACAAACTTTTTCCAAGAGCATAAATGTAAGACTCTGATTTCTAAATAATGCAGAGTCAAATACATCTCAGGACACTGTCTTGATCAAATACAGTATTGTCAAATAAAAAAAGAAACATTCAAACTCAAATTGTATCACACCTGCAACCAAATCTGGCTACAAAAGATACAAAAGAAACTAGAGATTTGTTGCTATTCTTAGAGAGTATCAGACTTATAGGACTGTTCAGTGTTGTTCTAGAGGAGTTTAGGCGTCTGGCCTGCTGTCTGGATGAGTTCGATTGTTCGAACCCCTTCCCACTTCTATCTCAACCCATTTTATTTCTACCACCTTCACGTTTTCCTTTAATCAACAAAAAAAGAAACAACAACAAACCGCACAATACTCAGAATACTCGGTAATCAGGAGAGGATTTATTAAACAGCACAAAAGTGTTGGTATTCCTACATGTACACAAAATCATAAATATCCCCAAAACCAAAAGGTACATCCTCTTTCCGCTGATGGGATCAAACTCTTTTTTTATGCAATAAACCAGATTATATAAGCCACATATTTATAAACCATTTACACTCGAGAGTGAACAATCTACAGTATAAAGAAACGGTTGTTAGACAGTTATCCTGTAGAGTCAAAACCAAAAGTAAGTTTTCATTAATTCTGGTTACGGTAGATACAAAAGAAACCCTAACTAGTTTAATGCGCTATTTACATTTGTCTTCTAAAAACAGCTTTCCACCGCGGAAGGTGTGTCGGAGATTAAATTAAAAACTTTAGCCTTGGCAAAAAAAAAAAACTCTTTCCAAATGGATCATTGCATTCTTCATACACAACCAAGTCGTTATAATTAAACACATTTTGTCTTGTTTGAACTGATAAAACTGTCAAATAAATCACAGAGGGCTTTTTTTCTTCCCCCCGTAAAAAAGGAAGCAATCTGGGATATTCTTGTCACCTTCCTGTTTTGATTTCCATGTCTTAACATCTTATCTAATTAAGAAATGCTCCTTATGATTATGTTATTGCTACATAATTATCTGTGACAATAGGCTCCACAACTGCTATTCTCCCTCTGAACAGGCATCTCATCCATTTCCAATCGGAATAAATGTTCAACTAAAACCCAGATTTGACAATCTAATCGACCCCACCCCCCCAAACAGCAGAGAAACTCACATCTTTCATTATGAAATGAAAATAAAAGGAAAAAAACGGACTCAGAAGACTGAACGCATTTCTAAGGATGGCTTGCTCGATTGGTTTACAACAGAGCTCCTTGTGATAGTTTCACACTCTCGGGGGGACAAACACACTCGTAGAGAGACTACAAGAGTGCCATGTTTCCTCTGTGTACAGCACAACTCTAAACAGGCATTCTGTGAGGCTGCCTCACAAAAGCCTGCTGGGATTACAAACCCTGGACTCTTTATAAAAAAAATATTACCCAATCTTGATGAAAAACAAAACATTTGTCATTCTTTTGGAAATAAAAAGAAATGTTCTGGGTTTCGACGTCCTGCTTTTTCCTGCTCCAACACGCAGAATGATATGGACCAACATATGATTAAAAACTAAATGGATTTCCAACATGATTATTGGGGGAAAAAAGAAGTGTCAACTAAATGATTGTATTGGAAAGGGCATTTAGTCAAATCTGTTGGAAAAAGTCATCACTGAAGGCTCTGGCTGACGGTTGGCATTTCTTTGGCATTTTTTCCTGACATTTTTTTCTCAATTGTGAGCCGACATGCGTTTTTTGGGCTTTCCATGATGCGCTGCCCGGTTTTTAGGCTCCAGCTCGGTTCGTGTACAGAGAACAAAGGATTTTCCGGCCGTCCTGTTGAAAACCGGCTGTGCCTGTCATTTATTTTCAGGACGTGTGGGCGGAAAAGCAGAGATGCTCTGCCAAACCGGGTTAAATATATTACCAAAACTCAATTTTTAAATGTTTTTATATATACCAAGCGCAATAGGAAGAAGAAAAAATAGGGGGAAATAATTTTAGGAATGAATATAAATCAAGAGGTGGATTCGTCTTGTTTTGTTAGCATATTTAAGAAAAAACGAGGATGTGAGAACACTTCCCAACAGAAAGTTTAAACGGTTTCAAACGCTGTCGCTGAGCGATAACCATCACTGTGTTTTAAGGCCTCGGCTCGTCCGTTTCTCTGCCCCCTCGGTGTCGCTTTCCTAAGTGTAAAAAGATCAATCATATCTTCGGAAAAAGAAAAAAAAAAAAGACGGGAGGAAGCCGCGACCAAATTGCACCGAGGAAACCTTGATAGAACCATAAATAAATACATCTATTATCGAAAGACTCGGAGGACTACAATATTAAGGCAATGCAGTGGCTCGTTCCTGGTGCTTTCTCTCGTGGATTTCTGGACATTAAAAAGAAAAGAATCAAGAATTAAATACACAAATGAAAAGGAAAAAAAAAAACACACAAAAACAAAAGACCTTCTGTACCCACAAAAACCTGACAGCAGCTCCACTGGATGGAGCCCCAAACCTCGCCAGTGACTCTACCTCCCCAAGTAGAACAACCTCGTCGGGAGCATTCTTTCAACATATATTCTCACTAGGAAAGTCAGTGCAAACGCTCCAGGTTACAGCTATTAAAAAAAAAAAATTATTAAAAGAAAAAGAAGGGGGCATGTAACATGGTGGACACTGGGGGAAAAAAATGAAATTAAAACCGAAAGCATTTCAAATAAAAAGAAGGAGGAAAACTATATTAAAGACTGTGGTCCAGAGGGTGAGTCACACCTCTTTCTAGTGAATGTAGGCTCTGTAGACTGCAGAGATATCGTTGTCGGACTGGTCCAGTGCTTTAGCCCTCTTGTAAACCTGCACGGGAACAAAAATTAATCAATTATTTTGTTAAAAAAAGACAAAAATAATAGTTAAACTTAATGATTCCACACTGAATTCATTTAACAAGATTCAGAGGCAAATAAAGCTCTTGGTTGAACAGTATGACACAAATCCTTATCATACAAAATGGTGGAAGGCTAATAGCGACGGGGCTGTACCTCATTGGCTGCTGCAGCCATGGGGGTGGGATGGTTGGCCATGTCTCCCATGGAGATGGCTAGTCTCAAGTCCTTCTGAATGTGTTTCAAATAGTAATCCGGTTTAAAATTGCCCTGCAGAATATCTGCAAAAAAAAAAATCAGAGGTCTAAATATCGCACAGAAAGAACGGGAAAGGGGTAAAAAAAATGAATAAATAAATGAATAATTCTCCTGACTCACTTTGGCATTTCTGGTCCACGAAGGTGCTGGCCATCTGGCCCTGGCACAGGATGTCCAGGAAGGTCTGCTGCGACTGGCCCGTGGCCTGGGCCAGAGTCAGCCCCTCTGCGATGGTGGCCATGAAGCTGCCCTGGACCATGTTGAGGATCAGCATCATCCTGGCGGCGTTTCCCGCCTCGCCTTAACGGGGAAAACACACCATTACAGACACACTGCCCAGTAGGCTTTATGGCACCAACAAGCATATCTTATATTGAGCTTAACAGGAGAATCACATGCAAAAGGAAGAGGAGCAGAAGAAAGTCAAAATTCCCAGTAACGGCAAGGAGGACGAGGGGCTGAGCACAGAAAAGCAACAGGACCAGATCAGAGCCTGGATTCTCTTCATTCTAGGGAACACCACACCAAGAATCGATCTGAAATTCTACACCTGAACAATCTTTAAGAGCCCGAACACAACAGGATGTATCCATCACCAGTAACAACTCTTTGCCAGGATGATCGTGTAGCTTAGCCCCTCTATGGTCAGCTTTTTGTGGATTCGACAGCGTTTTTTTGTTTGTGTACATTAAACGTTTTTCATTTAAATAATATTTTTTAACATTTAAAAGTGTTTTTTTACATTTATGTTTCGTGTTTAAATGGAACTTTTTTGCATTTAACATTTTTTAGATTTAACTTTCTAAACTTTCTAACTTTCTTTAGATTTAACTTTTTTTAAATTTTTTTTTTTACATTTGACGTTTTTTTTATTCAACAACTTTTTTGCAGTGGCGTTTTATTTTGTTAACATTTAATTATTTTTCTTATATTTACGTTTTTGTTTGTTTCATTTAAATTTTTTTATTTAACAACCTTTTTTTTTTTTACAAATTAACTTTTTTGCTTGTAACGTTTAAATGACTAAATTTAATTAAACTAAATCTTGTATTTCACTCACAACACATAGGGAACACTGTAAAAAAAATTCTAAAATGATGTTGAATAACTGAAATAGGACAGTAAACATGAAAGCGAAGTTATCAAAAATGTACCAATCTGTGTCACAACTTTAAACCTTTGGCTTTAACCATTTGCAAACGGCTGGTCTAATCATCAATAATCCAGATTCTTCCCATTTCAGGTCGCTTGGTTCAGAGGTTATTGATAGGTGTGGCATTAATCTGAGGCCTACCGAGGAAGAAGGAGGTCTTGCCCATGGCCTGGAAGCAGCTGCTGCAGTCTTCGTAGACCGTTCGGTCTCCAGCGGCCAGGATAACCAGCATCCCCTCATTGGAGAGCTGCTGGCTTCCGGCCACCGGGGCCTCCAGGAACCGGCCGCCCCGCGATGTGATCACCTATCAATCACAGATACATTTCATTTATTTACTTAAAAAAGAGAAAGGCAATTCCACTACTGCATTTAAAATAGTTTATGCTACATATTAACTTCAGATGGAGAGCAAAAACACACCACCACTGGCTGACATGCTGGTTTTGATCACTGTGAATGAATCACTCATGGGAATAATAAATAATGTTAGTTATAATGTAGATATAGAATAATGTATAAAATGAATAATGTTAGTTTTTAATGTAAAAGTGTTATTGTTTTATTACCCATGGAGGCACCTGGTGAGTGTGCAGTGGGAATCCTAAACTGAACTCACCTTACTGCTTATATATTCATTCATTGGAATTAAAGAAAAGTGTATAAAATTGTTTTAAATAAAATAAAACTGATTTAGAAAAAAAATATATATAGATGTATAACTGTATATGTATTCTAAAATATATATAATTTAGTATATATAATCTATCTATCTATCCATCTCTCCCTCTATCTTTCTCTATATAATAAATAAGTGTGACATAACCAGATCTGGTGCAACACTTTGATGTGACTGGGATGTCAGGATCAGACGTTGGCTTTGTGAACGTGTATTTTCCACACCTGTGAGAGCTCTGTGATGGTCTCAGGGTCTACAGTCGACATCTCGATGTAGCATTTTCCGGGCCGGATCCCCTGCAGCACCCCGCTGGGCCCCATCACCAACTGCAGGACACCCCAGAAAGAGCCTGGTCATTTTTACACATCCACGTTCACCTCATTACTGAAATCCTTACTGAATTTACAAAAACGCTCACGTCTCTGGCAGCCTTGGGGTCGGAAACGCAGGAAAAAGTGATGTCGCACATGGAGGCCACCTCTGCGGGGGTCCGGCCTAACCGGGCCCCTTCCTGGATGAACAGGTCACACTGGAGGAAGGCAGATTGGGGGGGATTTAGTCAGATGAGGCAGCTGTCACAGAATCTGGATTCTGACTATCAGAGAGTGGCAGTTTTAAAAGTGCTTTAAGCTTCATGACCACATTTTTTTCTTAACCAATCCGAACCCAGAGTGGCACATGTGTGATAATCTGTTTAAAGTTAAATACATTTATCAAAATGGCCCAATGGAATATGTAGAAATCACAGACCTCTGATATATTGTAGAGTACTTAAATGTGAGAAATGAGGTTCCTTTGGTCAGTATTCTATTCTCTATTATTTTCTTTAGGGGAAAATAGGCCTGGGCTCTTAAATAGAAGAAGATTAGACTGTCTTTATCCGGCTGCCCCTAAAAACCAGTCACATCATTTCTATGCAGCACAAACAACAGCCATAAAGGACTTGTGTTGGCTTGAGTGTAGACAATGATCTCTTTGACGACTCACAGAAACAATCAAATCAGATGGTGACATTTATGACTCAAAGTGACATCACTTTCTGAAATGATTTGATATACTGTATATATTTGTGTTTTGGTTTTGAATTCTGTTAATGTCAGGCTGCCATAGATTGTGCAAGCTTAACCTCCTGAGAGCCCAGCTTTGATCTGGTTTCTGCTCTGTTCCAGATCTCTGGATCAGTAAGAGCTGATAAGTTAAATAACTAGACTTTGTCCTGGTTCAGGTAGTTTTTCCTTCATATTGGCTCAGTGGGTTTATCTTTAAATTTAAAATGTTTGTTTATGTGTTTAATTAAATGTTTTCCCTGCTATTTGGTTCTGAGGTTCCAAATGACTTATTTACAACATTTTAATTCCATAATAAGAACATGATTGGTGTAAAATGTCTAAAAGCATTTTCCTTTAGATTTCAAACAGTAGTGTCTGATTGCGTCTGCTATGAGGCCAAGAGGTCAAAGAAAAAATAAAAAAGAAGGCAGAAATGCACCATCCTCATAGGAGGAACAGGCTCTCAGGAGGGTAAAATTGCTTTTTGCCTTTTAAACCGGAGCATCCATGATATCTGGCCCAGACTGGCTGATTGTTCGTTTGGTAATGAGGAGAACACACTTTATACAGCTAATCGGTTGTTTTCAACTGCCATGTTAATAAGTGTAGAAACGGCTGCTCTGAAACATGGTACCTTTTCTGCTGTGCGATTCCACACTGTGACAATGTGACCCATTTTCAGTAGGTTGGAAACTATGCCACTGCCCATGAGTCCCAGGCCCAGGAAGCCTATCCTGGTGAGGGAAATCCAAGCAGAGCAAGCGGATCAAAACTAAATGAAAGGCTGAATTAGCTGCTACACGATCAAAGAAAAGACAACAGGGTTTGATGAAGTCAAATAACTGGAAACAAACCAAAAGAGAAAATAAAAGAAATAGCCTGCTACCTTTTATCTGTGGGTGTGATGCTGCCATTAATGGCTGTGCTGTCCGCTGCTTGGATGGATGTTGAACCTGTAACCTGCAAAATCAGAAGAAACCATAAACATCCCACGTGGACGCTGATGCTGGGATAAATATGTCCGACGCTCTGTAAGCCTAAAACGTGCATTTACCTCTTCAACGATTTTAAGACGCTTGCTGATGGGCTCCATGGATGAGGCCGGCTGTGGACGCAGAGAAAACAGTTCATGAATAAGAGGCTCAATTCATCCTTATATTACTTCTCTTATATTATTCATTTTTTCTTTTACACATTATACTTTTCACTTAGCTATGAAGAAAACTACTTTCAACATTCAAACCAAAGTATATGTTATCAAGATGTATTAAATAAACAAATAACTTTATTTCCCAGCTGTTCAGTTAAGCCAAATAAGTTAACTGTACATCTAATAAAGGGCATCCTAAAACTAGAAGATGCGATTTTAAAGGAACTATAGACACTCCCATTAATCAGCCAAATGTTTAAGATGATATGGGTTTGAGAGTTTGGTTTGACGTGATGAAGTTACAAAAGAAAAAACTCAATAAATAGGCGATGAGGGGATAGGAAGTGGCATAAAATAAAGGTGAAGAACTCCACGTGGCGCGGCGACCAGCGGCTTTCTCTTACTTTCTCCGATTGGCTGAGCAGGAAGTGGTGAAAATGAGGGTCGTCCTTGACGGGCTGCAACACAGGGAGAGCTTAGTCGGAGGGTGCTCGGGCGAACACCACAGCTGAGAGTAAAGCCATGTGCAGAAACCCCTCCGTTTGCGTTTGAGAAGGTTTGATACATCAGCCGCAGCATCACAGCGTACCTCGTTTTTTCCCCTCTGCCTTGAGAGCTAAACAACTTCCAAATCTACAAGAGAAACTCGCCTCTAGGAGTTTTCTTACATAATGTGATGCCCTTACACAAGTATTACAGAGTAATAACGCTGTTATTGTGCAGGGGCTTCCCAAAAACTCAAAACATTACATTTTAAAGAGACAGCGACTGAGGAATGACAGGAGCTGATAGGACTGCATTTCTATGAGAAAATAGAAACTTATGGACAACTTGTAACGTTATGGACTTGGTACATCGCTTATAGGCGTAAAAGTCAACATTTGAGAGGTTTCTGACAATGTTTCCTTTGGTTTGACGGCAAAGAGGAACAGTTTAGTTCTACTTTAGGGGATCCAGCATTTCACTAACCACACACACACACAAACACACTCGGTGGCCAGATTTCAGTCAGAGAGGTCATCAACCCTGGCCACGAGGGGAAAAAGGCTCGGACCTGCACATCTGCACATTGTTATTCTGGATGAACTCAACCAAGCCTAGGCTTTTCTTTTTTTTTTGGAGCCTTTGCCTACAGAGTTGCTGACCATCTCGAGAGCACGTGGCCAACAAACAGCTTCAGCGGTCAAAAGTGAGAACCAAGCAGGTCGGAAGGGAAAAAGGTCTGGAGCTACTGGTGATTCCAAGCAACAGGTTAGAGATCAGGTTGAAGAAGAGCAAGGCAAAGCAGGCTAGGTGGGAGGGGGGGGGCAGGGGGTGGGGGGGGTGAAGGGTTCACCTACACTGCTTTCCCACTTGAATCCTGAGCCGGGTCCAGCCCCCAGCCTCTCAATAGCGGATGGCTCGGGGTCAGAGTCAGTTAAGTCCTTAAGGAGGAGAAACACACACATTCACCTTTAAAACAAAAGGGTGAATTTGTCAAAAAAAAAAGGTCCATGTCAACGGCAGCGGAGGGACACATCTGTGACATCTGGAGGAAAACTCAAACTCCTTTAGGGGTTAAATGTTGGGGGTCGGTGGCGGTAACCTCCAGAAAAGTAGATCCGGTCTGATGTGCATGGATACATAGCTCTGCCAGTTACTAAGGAAGACACCTGGTACTGACACGCCAGCAGCTGAACGGCCTCTGATGCACCTGCACCAGACTTTCAGGGTTTAAAAAAGCAAAGCTCCCCCTGCAGCCTGAACCGAGCCAAATCCCGACTTCTTTGCCCTAATATGGCCTGTATCCGACCTTTTCAGGACTGTGAACAACAGAGATCACATTAGTTCAAATTTGACCCAGCCCACTTGGATATGCAGTCCTAAAACCGAGACCAAAGTGTCCACGATGGTTGAGGATAACGAGATGAGCAGTCAGTGGACAGAAAGCAAGGTTTCTGAGTTAATTAGTATTTAGCTGGATAGCTCTATCCAGGCTAAACCAGGCTGTCTTATCGGTGAATGAGCTATTTTTGTTAGCACTTTCCAAGAAATGGCCGAGTTTGGGTATCAACGTTCCTGGCCTATGCCAAAGAAAATACAGAACCTCTGGGTCAAACGTAAGGAGCTTAAAGACTCAAACAAAAGAAGCGTCCGTGTTGTGAAGAGCTGGACTGCAAACATCACATAGGAGTCGCATATATTTTATTTGGAAATGTGAACGAGCATGCAAAAAAATGAAGATTTCACCAAAACAAAAAAAACAAGATTCAAGTTCAGGCTGCAGTGTTAACGTAGCCTTAATTATATAGTTATACAAGTCCATAAATATGAAGATTCAGGAGTTACACCACTACCTACGTTTGAACTCTATCGATAGTTTAAAGTTTAGACCATCCAAATTAAAACAAAATGGCTTAAATACCATTTCATTCGTAGCTTACCCTTTATCGAGTACAATGTGAGCAACAAGGGCTCATTTTCATGCATTTTATAGGATATTCTGAGATGACAAAATAAATATTTGAACTAATAAAATCCGTTCAAATGTGGCGTTGAATTGCCACGTTTAAGTAAAGCACATGAATCGTGAAAATTAGACAAAATAAATTTGTCCTCGCCACTTTTGTACTAGTATGACATCCCGATAAAAATTTAAAAAGCAAATCGCTTACAAAGAATCTTAAAAGTTGCCGATGTTTTTCGAAAAATGAATTATATTGCTTTATAGTATGTCCTGAAGCCTTGAGTCTGTCCTTATGCAGTCAGGGAACAGGCCCTGTTGTGCTTTTATAGCATTAAAACAATCAGGAAGAATGCCCTGCCTTTTTTAAATACGCCGTTTCGCTTTAGTTTCAAACCAAATGTGGGCGTTTTGTCAAATGCCTTCTGTGTGGCATTCTGTCTCGGCCGTTTAGCTTCCAACTAGTTAGTTTGGGGTCTGTGTGTTTATACTACAAAGACAAAGCCTAAGAAGGTCCAACAGGGTCAAATAACAGCTAACCATGTCCTTGTGCTGTAAAAAATGTATATACATTTCATTGTAAGAAAATAAAAAGAAACATGAGATCTGAGGATATTTTTAGCTTCTGACTTTAACAAGAAGCTGTTAAAAGGGCCTGACGAGATACTAAAAGCTGTTTAGACGACTGCAGGGTAACCCAATTAGCTTAATTTATGCATATTATTATTCTTTGTTGTATAGTGAGTCAATCCATAAAGGCGAGAGGAAAAAGGCAGGCTAACATTAAACCACAGTGAAGAAATTACTCAAATTTACTCTATTTTCTCCTTGCCAATACAAAATGTCACCTAGATTTGTGCCCAGCAATTAACTACAACCGATTTAATTAGTCATTTTTGTAATTTGTTCACTGTAACACAGCTTCAGATTTGCTTAAGATTTCCTGGTGGAGAAAAGAATCACTTTTTCAGGCCTTTCACTGCAAGACATGCATGATGTGGGTTGATGCTTAGTGGTGGAACCACATGGACATCCGTTATTGCTATCCATTAAGGCCATAAAAAAACAAAAACCTCATTTATTCCACCCTCCAAGCAGGGAGTTGTGTTTTTTGGAGGGCTCAATGCAAGAGGCTCCCATATACTGTCACTTCTTCATTGGTTTCTTTAAAGTTTCTAACTTGTAAGAGCCCTACTAACCTTCTCAGAGGGGTCTTTTAGGGCACTGAGGTCCTCATCATCCTCCTCCAGTATTTTCAGTGGTTTGCTGGGAGTCTTCTTTCCTTTCGACTCTCCTTTTCCGTCCGAGTTCTGTCAAAAAACATGTTGCCGTTTTGAGTATTGCATCTTGACAAATCCCGCCCAGTGTGGCTGACATTTTTCTGGATTAAGTTTTAAAGGATAACCCCGGTACCTGCTCTTTCCCCTTTGCTTTCTTTAGGAAGTCTTCCACCGCGTCAACCGCCTGCTGAAAACGCTTTCCTTTATTGATCTTGATCATTTCTTCTTTGTGAGCGTGGTAGGGCTTCAGCTGCTCTACTTTGATCCAGGCACTGGTCAGACACACAAGAAGAACTTTTACACATTTAAAAGAGGGTGTGCAACACAAGGTCAGGTGGAGCAGTCACCTTATGGTGGTGCTTGTACTTAAATAGTGCTTTTTAAGTCTTAAAAGCCACCTGACTTGTCATTCACACAGTCACACACACCGGAAGGATGTCTGGGGGTTCAGAGACTCTTTTGTGGCCTGGAGGAGCATGGAGCCAGGCCACAGACCTTCAGATCAGTAGGAAACTGGCCTTTCCTCCTCAACCCGGGCTGCTCGGGGTCTGTACTTACTGGTCTTCAGTTCCAAAGAACTTCACAAAGTGACATTTCTTGCCCCGAGGCTTTTTCAGGTCCTTGGGAGGGCTCACTATCTGAAATGTGGGGAAAGAAAACAACAAATTGAGATCTCAAATTTAATGCTTCACAAATTCAGAGCAAAGTAATTTCTGCCTACCTTTCCGGGCCATGGCGGGTAACGACCAAGCTTTCCCCTGAGGGAAAAAAACACAAAAAATACGTTTAAAAAACACCATACAAACTTTATTTATGGAACACAGAGAGAATACTTTAACACCCTGCCACTGGTTTACGACTTTTTAATCACTTCCGCTCGACAACTTAGGCTTTATGGCTGCTAAAATCAATTAAAAAAACAAACAAATAGAAATCCATTTTCATTTTAGGTTGTGGCTGCTTGAATTCGTTCGCTTTCAACAACTTTATTTATCTGTTTAGCAAAGGTCTAATGTCTCCAGCTGCTTGAATGCAACGGACAGGAAAAGATAACGTAACTGTTAAAGAGTTCGATGCAATGGAGGTCGCTGTTAGCATTCCTACGGTTACTTTTGGCGAACTGTTCGTGGGGATTTACAGGCTTTAGTGATTTCCCCGTGTGTTATTCAGCTCCTCGCATATTTGTGTGAAGTTGTAACAAGCCAAAAGAGATAACCAAGTGTTGCCTGCAGCAAAAAAGAAGCGCTGTATTTGACACCGAAGCGGAGCAGATGCGAAGCCCGGTGCTAACGATATCCGCTTAAGCTACGAGGCTAGCACAGCCCGTAGCTAAAGAGCACAACAATTCAAGAGTACGCCTATTTTTAACGCTCTGACGCAGTTCTGCCAGAGAAACGACCGGATAAAAGCACACAAACGATAAAACAAAGCTTCCTGAGCTCAGAAAAGTCCGTATCGATTAGGTTTTACATTTGTTTTCGTTTTTTTAAAGGCTTGTTCACTTAGTGGCAGCTAACGACGGCTACTGGCTGAGTCAGCCCTGTTAGCAATTTGTTTGGGTTGACAATCCAAGAATTTCCACAGCCCCACAACTTCTCTGGTGGACACATGCGATAAACATTACGCGTTAGGCAGCTGACACAACGACACTCCACGCGAATCGAGCCGAAACGGCGTTTAACTGCGTTTAAAGGTCATCTCACCACACCAGATCCCCGATTCTCAGATGCACCGCCGCCATCTTTCTACCTAAATAAAACGTCGCACCGAATGAGAGGAAAAGACAAACACACACCCACTCATCACATGGGTGGGCGCACCGCTCCTCTATCTAACCTCCTCGTTTTTACAGGCATTTTAGGATAATCATAACCAAGTGGAGAGCTTTACACAATCATGCTACGTGATAAGTATGAGTGGCAAATATGCTGCTAAGTTCCCTGCACATTCTCTGAATATTTGACGAGATTTAGTACAAATGAATGGTTTCTTTTTCATATAGAGAAAGCTTAGAAAGTCTTCTTTTAAAGGGACTTACTGCCACCTCTTGATAGGAGTCCTGAAACATGAATACAGATATATGAAATATAAAGATTTACACTGTTTCATCTTTTGGAAATTCACTAAGTGCATCTGTGTCACCAAACTACAGAAAAAAGGAAAGGGAGCTAGAGTTTTTATCATTTTTAAAAAGAGAAGTGCCATTTAAAAGTACTCTCTTTGTTTACTGCCATCCCAAATCATCAAAAGATAAGTAAAAAAGAAAGCTAAATGAAGAAGTACAAGCAGAATGTTCTCAAACTGACTTTTTAATCCACATATATTTGCCCCGATTTGTGTTCTTATGTTTTGTATCCCTTTAATTTGATTTGCAATACCTTGTGTTGCATTCAGATACAGAAAAACATTCCCGAGGCTTGATGATGGCCTTATCTTTACAGACTGAAAGGATTATTATTATAAGGGCATATTATGTGCCAGGCCAAAGAAACTTTTATATGTTAATGACATTCGTTTTTCAACTTGATTGCGTCCACATTTTTCCTGTGTGTGGCTTATCTCTGCTCTTGTTCTGTCTTGATCATCTCTTTCATGGCCTAGTGACATAACTCTCGCCTAATGATACAGGATGGACAATAGGACAATAGCAGAAAGCGATTGCTGCTAGTTGCTACACTGATCTTATTAAATTCATACGCAGATTTCTTTGAGTTGAATTCTTTAATAAAACTTGAAGCAAAGCTGTTATTAGGTGGCCCATGAAAACCACCACTGAAAGAGAAAACAATTTGCATCTCCAGCAAAACAGTTGTGGGAAAGTATATCCCCGAAGTCAAAATATTAATTTTTTTTAGCATTGATTTCAGTGAATTAAACTGAAATCTCTTAACATTTGTCAATTAATATTAATGTCTACTTTGTCTGTCAGTGGAATAACTCCTTTCTTAGATAATTGGACACTTTCATGGAGGATGCAAAAGATTCTTGAAGTGCTTCTACGCATAAGGACTAACTTTGTAGGCTCAGAGTTATCGTGTTTTTGTCATAATTCTGGTGGAGATACTAGCTTAGATGTTTGTTTCTCATGGCACTAAACGGGATGAGTCTGTTCACATTAGCTCTAGAATATTTTAAAAAAACAACAACATTTGAATACAAATTAGTGGCACAGTGTTGGATTTCATGATGAAATGGTTTCAAATTTGTTATCTGTTAATTAATTCCATACATTCTATTGAATATAATAAGGTCCCTAAATTATTCTGTCAAAAATTTGCTCTATTTGTGTCTAATTTTAATCAGTTACATACAAAAACTGGTGTCACATTCTGTTTTGAATTACATTAAAAAAAAGAGTTTGCATTTATATATAAAGGTATAATTCCGACATGGCTACCCTCTCTAAAGTCCCAATCATGCTCTTTGACAAAGCAGCTCAAAATGATATGATCAATATGATTGTTTCTTCGGGAAGGAATAAGTAAACAACTTAAGTCATAATGATAATAACAATACTTATTACTAACAGTTAATTCTTATACACAAACACACATATATATATATATATAATATAAAAGTATATTATAGTATATAACATTAATATAAAATATGTTATATGTACAACAGAGTAGTTCTGTGGGACTCTGCAACACTTCTTCAACTTAAGCTTGACCTTTAAGAGAAGGCTCCATCTTGTCTGGTTTATGTCCTGAAAAGAACTCACCTATCATTGATTGACTACAAACCTGTTGCCTTGACATCGCGCACCACGAAAGTCCTGGAGAGACTTGGATTTCTTTCCTGATGTACCCCATGCATGCTCAGAATGGTGTAGTGGATCAAAGTGACGATTCAGTGGAATCAGTTGGTTATTCTGCCAGGGTAACTTTGATCTAAACTGAATTCACTCTGCATGATGATCAATTCTGGAATTGATTGGTTTATGATTGTATTGATTATTTGGATACTAACTGGCTTAAGTTGAAGTTGAAGTATATATATGAAGTATATACATATATATACAATTTGTTGGAGATTTAAATATCTTAGGTATACAGTATATATATATATAAATAGAGAGAGAGAGAGAGAGAGAGAGAGAGAGAGAGAGAAATGGGTCTCACTGCACAATCTATTTTTGAATGAAAAATGGATTTGATATTATCATACCTAAAATACAGTTAATTGGATCTGTTTCTATTGTGCATGTTGTGTAGACTGGAGCTTTAGTCGTATTCTGTTTACTTCACAGCAATAACTCTTAAGAAGCAAATTTCTCGTTTTGATTAGACTTTTATTGAAACATAAAGATGACACTGAATTAACCTGCAGAAATCCCACACATCAATTAATTATTTAGTCCACCATTGAATTTAAATATGCTGTCAACCCTAGTACCTTCTGAAGAAAGATTCAAGATAATCTGAGCAAGCTTTTCATAAAACATAGAGCATTGTGTAGTTGGCTGTGACTATAGCAAAATCAATTCATATATTTGAGCCAATATCAAAGAACTAAATGTTTGTATGCATAAGGAAATAAATACATATTGAGCTTTGGAACCATGAATAAGGTAGAAAAGAAAACCAGTATTCAAGTAAGAAAAACAATGAACTGAGACTTTTAAGCACCTTGAAACAGATTATGCCTTTTAGAATGAAGAAGAATCTGGACGTCAGTGTTCAAATCTTCTTGCCTGACACCATTACACCAAACTCCTGAATGGAGATCTCTTTGTTTAAGTACTGCTGGAGATTGCGCTGTGTGATGTGCCCGAGACGCAATGCATCGTCAATGGAGAACTTCTTTCCGGATTTTCTGTCATGCAGCACAGAAGATTCTCCTGTGGGACCTTTGACTGTGATCTCCTCCCAGTCACACTCCTGGCTCTGCAGGTTAACAAACATTTTCCAGTCGATCAGCCCCAGCTTGTACGCCTCCTCTGGTCGCATCTCTTTGCCTGTATCTGGGTCGATGACAACAATGGACCTGCGGAGGTGGCTCTCTCTCTGCTCCCTCTTTATTCTCACTGCTGCCAGGTTCTTTTGAAGCCTCTCAATCTCATCTTCCTTCTGGTGTGTAATGCTTCTTAGCTCGGTGAGCTCCTTCTGCAGAGAGTCAAGCCTCAACTCTAAGTTCTTCCCATCCGCCCTCGGAACAGACTCGGTGATAATTCGAGTTTCTTTGCTGGTGATGTCAATCTCAGATCGAAGCTTGCGGATCTCATTCTGCAGCCTTTGGTTCTCTTGCTGTAGGCGATTACTTTCATCCCGGATGTAGTCCAGTTCTTTTGAAGACTTGGAGTTGGTAAATTCCATATCAGCGTACCTGGAGGTCAGGGTGGACAGTTCCTGGTCAAGATCGCGCCTTCTTCTTTTCTCTTCTTCCAAAGTTCTCTTTAGGTGGTCAATCTCAATTTCAGCCTCTGGGTCCCTCTCTACTTGAACCTTCTCAGTGCGGACGACTCTTTCCTTTACTTGCATCTTCTCCAGGGTGTGCTGCTGCTGAATTAGGGCGTTCATCTCTTTCTCAAGCAAGGTCCGTTTGTGGCGTTCTTCATCCAGCTGCAGTCTGAGGATGGAGTGTTCCTTCTCCTGCTGAGGGTCCTGCTGCAGCACCACCTTTTGTTTGACCGTCACCTTTTCACGATTCTCTTTGTCGCGGATCTCCAGCTCTTGAAGTCGGATCCGGAGCCGCTGAATCTCCAGTTCGGCATCACGCCGGGCTCTGCGTTCGCGCTCAAGCTCCTCCAGTTGCAGGTCCAGGTCGCTGATCTGTCTTTGCAATTGGTACAGCTCGGCTTTCAAGTTCTCCTTTTGTTTTTGTTCACTGCTGATGTTTTGTGAGAAGCTATCGCACTCCGACCTAAGGAGAGGGTCTTCTTCCATCTTAATCACCTCTTGCTGGACAATTTTCTCTCTGACCTGAGACAGATCCATTTTTCTTAGTCTGATCTTTTCTTCATGGGCTGACCGCTCACTTTCAAGATCAAGACGTTTCTTCTGTTCCTCAGCCAGCTTTCTTTTAAGGGTTTCAATCTCTTCCTTAGTCTTGGGATCCTCTCTATACTGCAGAACTTCATTGACGACCTCTTTTGTCTGTACTTGTGGTTTAGTATCCTTCCATCTTTGGATTTCATCATTGAGCTGGCGTATTTCCATCTCAGATTTCTGAGTCTGGTGGGTTTTATCTACTATTTCGTTGCGGAGTCTCTCCAGCTCTCTTTCAGTCTGTGGATCAGTCTTATATTTGATGACTTCCTTGATGATCTCTTTGACTTCCACTTGGGGTCCTCTGTTCCTTAGCATGGTCAGCTCATCCTGCAGCGATTTAAGCTGGAGTTCTGCATCTTTATAACGCCTCTGTTGCTCAACCAGTTCAAGACGGAGGTTGGCTACCTCATTCTCAGCCTTAGGATCAGGCCGGACGATCTCCCGCACTTTCTCCTGAACCACCACCTTGGACTTCTCCTCTTCTAGGCTTGTAATTTTCCTTTGGAGATCAGCCTTTTCCCTCTGGGATGATCTTCGCTTGGACTTCTCATCCTCATACTGCCTTCTGAGGTTATCTACTTCTCTTTCAAGGGTAACATCTTTCTCTACTTTCAGCACCTCTTTGATGGAAATTTTCTCCTCTGCAATTGCCTTCTCCTTCTCCAGCCTACGGAGTTTATCCTGAAGAAAATGCAGCTCGTCCTCCAATTGCTTCCTGCTTTCTATTTCCTTCTGCTTCCTGTCAAGGAGCACCCGGTACTCTTTTTCCAGCTGGGGATCATTCTGCACTTTTAACACTTTCTGTTCAGTGATAACCTCTTGTTCTTTGTTCTTCTCTTCAGCCAGGAGTGTCACCTGCTTTTGGATCTGAATCAGTTCATTGTCTTTCATCATCTTCTGTCGTCTTAGGTCTTCCAGCTCATCTCGAAGCTTGCGAATCTCCTCTTCCTGGCCACGGTCTCTTTCTATGCGCAAGACCTCCTTCACTGTGTACTGCTGCGCTCCTTCTTGGACCTCAGTCTCAAGACCACGGAGCTTTAGCTTTAGGACCTCCAGGTCATTCTCCATGACATGGGTGGTGCGACGTTCCTCTGAGAGCTTCTGTTGGACCTTGTGGATTTCCTCCTCCAGCTGGGGGTCTGGAACCTTTTTAATAAGCTCCTTCTTGACAATTGTATCCTGGGGTTTTTGGCCTTCCAGGACATAAATATCAGTCTGAATGGTCTCAATTTCTTTTTCTAGCTGCTCTCTCCTCTGGACCTCGTCTTCAAGTTGCTTCCTGATTCTCCATGGCTCTTCTCCTGGGGCAGCAGCAAAGACTGACTTCACAGATGTAGACTGTATCATGGGGACCTCAGCTTGCTATGGAAGAATATCGATCTTTGTTATAACCAATGTTTTTAAAGGTGTGTTATTTCATCCAGCGTAATCATGGTAAATTTCTTACCTGCTTCATAAGATTTTGGGCAAATTCAAGATTCTGCAGCCTTTGCTTGTTCACAGCATTCACCTCGGTAAACTTGGCCTCAATAGCTGCTTCCTGCAAACATTGCAATGACAAGTCATGCAGAGTGAAAATAGGGAATCCCTTTACTCAGCTTCCATGTGAAAGGAATCACGTGAAAGTACTATTGTCTGATTCATTGAATCATATTAGGGCAATAGGGTAATAAAACAAGACTTTATGTGATGAATTCTGATTAAAGTTCTGCATAAAACAAGCACAGCTTTTAAGTTGCATTTTCCTGGTTATTTTAGTCAAAATTCTCAGTCAACCTCTGTAATCAGAGGTGCTTGAACAAGGCCAATTAGGGCAAGGTGTCCAGTTGTCCTTCTTCAAGCTTTTTTGATCTGGTTTGCAACATTCATTATTCTTAATTCTTAGAATATCCCCCAAATTTCCCATAATTATAGAGAAAATAAATGTCAGTTCCCCTTAAATGTGAATACATAACAGTATTTTATCATGAAGAGACAAAGAGCCAGCAGAGGACATATCCCTGAAATACTGTTGGGATGGTTTTCATGCATGAAACAGCCAGAAACAGGTTCATGTCACTGCTGGGGGGGGGTTTAAGTCGTGTGGAACCTCACCTCTGCTTTGACGGTCATTGCAGGTGACTCCAGTCTGCTCTTCTTGTAGGTTTGAGGGACAAGTCCATCCTCAAGGTCAAGAATAGACCTGAACTTTTCAGACTCAGTCTCATAATCCTAAAGTGAAGAATCACTTAATCATTACTTGACTCCCAACTCAGTGTGTTTTTGTATATTGATGCTTGTGACTTAAAATAAAGGCAGAACACTTACCTTGACGGCTTGCTGGTAAAGTTGCGCATTTTTGGAGACGCTATTCAGGTCGGACTCCTTCCTAGCGATGTCCGACAGCAAGTTCTGTAGACAGTGCATTTGATATTGGAGTTGATATGTTCATCATCATTAAGGGAATATTGAGGGAAATCTAAATCCCAGTGCCGCTCATCTCACCCTCTGATTTTTCAGTTTGGTCTCCACTTGTCTGGTGTCATCAGTTTCACGGGGCTCGTAGTTGGGGACCTTAGACAGCCAGCTGTTCAAATTGTCATAATCCTTGCGGTAATTGCTATACGCCATCTTGGCTCTCTGCAAGCTCTGAGACCTGTAACACATAGCAGAGTTAAAAAAATTATCATTATAGCGTTCGGAGTTGCAAGAGGACATACGACATAGTAATGCAGTGTTATTTTTTTAAGAGTTTATTATGGACGGATCCTGGTCTTACCTGGTGTCGATCTGCCTGTTGAGGTTGTTGAAGCGCTTGTTTAGCTTCTGGACATCAGCTTCCTGCCTCTCAATATCAGGACAGTGCTCCTGAAATTTGGTGGCCATGCTGTCGCAGCTACCTTTGGCCAGGCGCAGGTTCTGCTCTGTGTCGGCAACGACGGTCCTCTTGGACCTCAGATCTGATCCGATATCCTACCAGAGCAATAGAGGAGACATGCTCAAAACACAGATTTTATGGTGATGCTGGTAGCCTACAGCTGCCAACTGGAACATGGATGACCAAGATGTGATAATCAATTTATCAATATGTGTTTGGAATGGTTAATAACTCAAATGTGCCAGAGGCTGTAAGGGCATCTTACTCCAAGCTCTCTCTGGGTTTTCTCCAGCGAGGTGATGTCCGAAGGAGCCACCTCCTCCCTTGCCAGCTTGTTCTCGTATGAGGACAGTAAATTCTTTCCATTTTGAAGGGAAGTCTCCAGCTGGCTTGAATTCTTCATTCTAAAGACACAATTCTGCTCTTAGATGACCGCTCTTAGATGTGTAGGTTTTGATGAATTCAATCGGGATCAAAAGCAGTAGGGACACAGATCAACCCAGAAAGAAACCCTTTAGTATGTATAATAAGGTGACGTACTTTTCCTGAGAGCACTGGAGAAGCTGTTCAACCTTTGTGTATTTCTTGTTGGCCTCGTCCACTTTGCTGTGAAGCTGAGGAGCACTGGCGCAGTTGGTGTTTGAGACCAGGAAGTTCTTCGCCTCGGCTACTTTGGAGGATTTCTCTGGTTCAATCTTGCTAACAGCTACAGAAATATCCTGGGAGAAACAGAGTTATAGAGGTATGCATTGCGTTAAAACCCCCATCCTCTGATGAGAACCGATTAAAAAAGGACATGTGCGACAGGACAGACTTGAATGAAGTTGATTTACCCTCAAATCCTGCAGGCGGTCGACGCTGTCCTTCTGTGGCCTGTTCTGCTCCAGTGGCGGGCGTACTCGGGTGTAAATGGCCTTCTCCTGTTTATCCAGGTCACTGACAACTTTATCCAGACTGGCCATCAGCTGCCGGCACTGCTGCTCTTGCTTGTCTGCAGCACCAGACGATCAAATTCAGTATGACATACTTAATTCATCAGTGGTTTCCCATTTATAACCAAATGACAGCTTGTTAGCATATTGTGCTTTTAGGATTCAAGTCAGTTTGAATCCACTGGATTGTAACTGGTTCGATGTGGACTGAATCGCTTTCAGATTACAGATCTTTAAAGAGATCCAGTTGCTCTGAGTCACAGAAGCTACGTTGGGTAAATGTGCTATACCTGTAGCAGTTCCGGCCCCGCTTTCTCTCTTCAGCTCATCAAAGCGTTTTTGCAGAGTCGTCCTGCTGCCCATCATCTTCTGTTTGATGCCTTTTTGCTGGGAGGCCAGACTGCAAGCACGGGATAGGACACTCTGTTGCAGAATTCATGTTGTGAACTAAAAACAATTTGCAAAAAGCACATTTGCATACACTCACTTGTCGGAGATGGCCACTGCCTCTGGGTCAGTGGGAGGGATCATGAAGCAGACAGCTGGGGCCGTGAGCTTCCGCCCGGCCACATCTTTCACATCCCATTTGGCTCCATTGTTCCTCAGCAGCGTGTACCTCTCCCCACGCAGAATCTGCCCCTGCACAAGTTCAATAATTACAGAGTCGGTCAGAAAATCAACCTCGCAAAACTCAACGTTAAAAACATTTTTTACAAATAAATTAGGTTCAGATTCCATGCATCCAAATCTCACAAAATGAGTTTGACAACCTCTATCCACATGTAATTCATTACAATATTTTCACTGTACATAATTAAATGGAAAGTTAATAATAATAATCTTAATAATAAAATGTATAAATTAAACACTGGTAAAGATGTTTCACTGTTACCTGTGTGTTATAATAAAACTTGAAAAAACATAATAGCAACTTAAAAAAACTTGGTTAAAAAATCAAGAAATTGTTGGTATATATGAAGAAATTCTAATAAATCTGTAAATTTTCATCTTCACACGTGACCAACCAGGAACACTTGAAATTGGTAAGGTCCAACTGGAAATCTGTGCTACACATCAAAATGAAAATATCCACAGGCCTCTAAGGCATCTTTAAACCCCCGGAGCTTTCATCTCAAGTTTAAAAATAAAATACTCAGTGTCAAAATTCCTCTTTTCTGAAAGGATTAAATATACTTTTTTTTTAAGTTACAGGCCTAGTAAAGTAAAAGATGATCAGAGTATCTGTCTGTAAATTAAAAGCCTGAGTTTTATCAGTTTTAGCATCGGTTCAGATATTTAATTTCGATAGAGTTTGAAAATTTTATTAACTTTTCTACAGTATAAAGACTGCTTAAGAAGTCTTTACACAGTCTGCACAGATGCTAAAGCAGGTCTGAAAATACCTCATTTATTACACTCAACTTTTAAAACCTTTTGAATTACAATGAAAAAAAAAGGGGGGTCTGAACTTTGTTTATTGCAATACCTCCACATTTGCAGAAAAATGTCAGTTATCGGTGAGCTTAAATGGAGGCGGTACCTCGTCTGTGTCGTATTCACACAGAGCTTCCACCGGCAGCAGCTTCTGGGGCGTTTCTCTGCGGTACTTCAGAGGCAAAACCTGCAGGCTGCGCTTCTGGAGGGCCTTCACCCGTTCATCGAAATGCTCTACGGCCTTGGCCTGGTCCTATTTCCCCACAGATAAGAGAAACAGGAAGTCAGAGCTGTTCAGAAATAGCCGATTGTGCTGTAAGTCACCATCCACGACTGAAATGCTCACATCCAGCTCTGAGATCAGTCCCTCCATCTGATAAACATCTTTGAAGTCTGGGTTGTACTTCTGGTTGACCTCGGTGTCGAGCCGCTTCAGCAGGTCCTGAGTGTCTCGGGCCTCCTTGTGGTACTGTGCACAAACAGAAACACACACAGACACACACGGACAGTCACTACCTCCGTCTGCTTAACTATCTCTCTTTGAATGTCTCTAAACTTTGTCAGACCTTATGGTATTCATCCATGTGTTTGAGGTGGGTCTCCTCACAGATGAGGAGGTTCAGGTACTCCTTCCAGTCAGCATGGACTGCCTCCATATGTGCCTGATGGAAATATGTGCAGAACATTAATACATTTGGTAGAATTCAGTGAATAAAAGTATAAAACAATTTAAGTTGACCGAAGTGCTCCAAAATTGTAAAATTCAATTCAGTTTAAAAGATGCAACAAAGCTCTTTTTTCATATATAGAGAATAAAAAAAGTATATTTGTCTCAACAAGAAGAAAAATTATTTTTGGAAATTAAGACTTGTTTTTAGAAAAACTAAAACTAAAAAACAGATCTTAACCAATGATCTTAATTTTGGTTCAAAACTGGTTTTAGGGACAGGATTTACAGTGATGGTTAGGTTTCGAGTAACGATAAAGTTAGGGTTTCAATTGTAATATTTACGTTTTGGTTAAGGGGCCAAAGGAAGCATACATGGCCATATTAACTGGATGTGTGTATTAGTTTTTGGCACAAGTACAGAAAAGAAAATATACATTTGCTGTTTGTTGTGCAGTTAACAAAAGGTCTAGGCCAGAGGTTCTTTGATTCTGGTCATCTGGGCCTAATAACACACCCAGGTATATTTCTTTAAAAACTTATTTTACTATTCATTATTAATTATATTCAGGGGGGAAATAAGCCACAACTAATATCATCATGGGTAACGTAAGCAGGAAGCTTCATTAACCAATCAGTTTTTACCTTTAATTTGAATACCATTTGTATAAAAACTGGACCTATTTGCATTTTTCAAGGAGAGGCACAAAACATGATCTCAATGAGCAAATAGCATTTTCCATCATATAGTAACATCACTATCTTTTAGTAACAATGACTCTAACGAACGTTCCGATGCGTGTCTTTGTTAAAATGATGTTGAAAATCCCCAGATGGCATGAAACTGATTCAGAAATTATTTGAATTTGTGTGTCCATAAAGAAACCATTGTTATAAATTAAATAAAATCATTGCTTGCACTATTACAACTGACTGTGTTAATAAGTTGATCTAAAAAGACCCTTTAAAAAACCTTTTACTTTCATTAAACAAAATGCAACAACAAAATCGATGTATATTTTCAAAAGAAATCCCAGCTAAATTTTTAACCCATAAGCTTTTTATGATTTAGCCATTAGGTGGCACACCAATCATACAAGTGTTTTTATAAAAAGTGGATGGCTTCAGAATATCATTCATATATCATTCAGTCTAAGAAGCTAGTTTTAAGGAAAAAAACATTCTACAACATGTTGCTGTTGAATCCCAAACTAAAACTCATAGGCTTAGATATTTACACAGAGAAAAAGCAAATGTGGCAGAACACAGTGATTTGAAGCAGATTAAAGACCTTGTACCTCAATAACATTCTTCCCTGGATGCTCGGCCTGAACCAGCTTCTCTCCATCATCATTCAGCTTGGTGACTGTAGCCTCCTTGGATTCCAGACATTTACTGATAAAGTTCTTTTGGGGTGAGAGGAGGAAGAGGAATGAGAAAAAGTGAGCTGGTGATCGTGGTTTGCTTTGAATAGCTTGCACAGCATGCACAGACACTTATTCTTTTTCCGATAAAGTTAGCTTTTTATGCATCTTTTGTGTTATCCAGCTACCTCGTACTGCCTCTGGCGGGCAGAATAATCCAGGTTGATGTCGCTCCAGTCGTAGTTGATCCTCTCCTCTGCCTGCTGGTCCATCCAGTACAGCTCGTTGGTGCAGCGTTGCATGTAGTCTCGCAACGTCAGCAGGTTGCGCTGACGGGCACTAGAGCTGGCCTAGATTTAAAAAAAGTAACATTCAGAGCCTCTCGTCTTCACAAAGCTGACATTTTTATCTCAGAACACTACTACAGAGCCATTATGATCCTCATTACCCTACGTCTATTGAACATTATTGAATGGGTGGGTGTGTTGAAATTAAATGAATTGCCCCTAAAAGTTTGAAATTCTTTATAGTAGCTGACATCGGCATAAAATATACTGGGGAAAAAATTGTATTAATGAACAAAATGATTCTATAAATAATATATGAAATCATGCAGTCGTGTGTAAGAGAAAAAAAACTGGTGTAAATATGTTTTGGGGTTTATTACCAGCAGCTTGTTGTACTTCATCTGGAGGCCACTGACATATTCCTATAGAAACAAAATTAGGAGATTAAAAAACTGAAATGACTATGATTATGTCACAAGAGAAAATACAGAAACAGCTGGCTTTTACACTGTGTTTAAAACAGTTAAACTGTGTGATTTATAAATAGTGCAAACCAATTTACTTTACCAAACTGTTAGCATGCAATTATCCTAACTTTGATTTATTGGGTAGATATCAATAGTAAAAATAAGATGAGTAACATTTACTTTAGTTTTTTTTTGTTTACCTTGTCTCCACTGCTGGAGATGTGAGGAGCCAGAGCCTCCACCTCACTGTGGAAGATGTTGTGCTCCTCCACCTCATTTTCCACCGACGGCAGGTCCTGGCCAAAGCCTTTATTGTTCAGGTTGTCCTGGGCAGAAATAAAAAAACGAACTCTTATTCCACTCTACCATTTTCCAACATTTTTTTACTTAACCGAAACCGAGTTCGGTAATGAATCTGACACAGACAACCAGCATATATGAGGACAAAGCTCCTGGAGTTGAGCCAAACTAAGTTACATTTCAAATTCAAAGAGAAACTTGTGTAACACTATGATCCCCCAATGAAACCAATATGACCAACATGTCACATGACCAGTGTTGGGGAGTAACGGATTACATGTAACGACGTTACGTAATTTAATTACAAAAAGAGAGTAACTGTAATTCGTTACAGTTACAATGAGAAAATATGTAATTCAGTTACAGTTACTTCCGAAAATATTAAGAATTACAAATTTAGTTACATTTTTTAAAAAATATAAAGAAAAACCTTTGCAAAATATGCAACCCACTGATAGACGAAGCGTATTGATTTACTAATATTTGACTGTTTGGTGTTGATACATGACAAACGTTTGTCGATGTCTATGACCTAGCCTAGCCTAGCCTAGCCTACCTAGCCTACCCAACTGTAGGGTGACCAGACGTCCTCTTTTTCCCGGACATTTCCTACATTTCAGACTAGGGTTGTCAAAAGTATCGATACTTAAAAAAGTATAGATACTAAAATGTTGTATCCAGATACGACTGACTTGTCTCCGATTTATTTATGTATTTATTTACGTTGTTTATGATCATTAACAAGACGTTAGCCTTGAACTGCTTGCTGCGGCAAACAGCTAATGATAACATGCTAAAATTAATCATGGATTAATACTCATTAAAACCTTAAAGTTATCAAAAAGTAATCAAAAGTAATTAGTTACATTACTTTTTAAAAGTAATCGAAAAAGTTACACTACAATTACATTTTAAACACGGTAACTTGTAACTGTAACGGATTACATTTTTAAAGTAACTTACCCAACACTGCACATGACATACTGGCCAGTTTCTCCACACTCACCAGTTTCTCGTCCATCATGTTGCCCCAGTTGATGCTGGGCATCCCTTCGGTGCGGGTCAGGTGGTAGATGCGGTCATGGTCCTCCTTCAGCTTCATCACTCTTTCGCGCAGTTGCTTCATGCTGAAACAACACGAGAAGGTTTGGGTCAAATAAATCTAACCGTCAGACTATATCTCACTGATGAGAAACAGCTAATATTCTTAACGTTTTGTCCAGAGCGACGTCACTTTGGATGCAAGCACCCTACTGTAGCAGCTCTATATACTTATTCAATCTCCTTTAAGATTTTTTCACTTAGATTTGTTTCTAAGAAACCATAGATTTCCAAACCATCTTTCTGTGCTGGTTGAATTATGCTGCTGTAAGAGCTGGAAGGCCAGAAAGGCCTTTAAAAACTTATATTTTTACATTTGTTATGATGTACGATAAAGTATCAGCGCCATATTTAATTGTTTTTTTTTTTAAATTAATTACAAGATTAAAATCGTTATCAAATGTGGTGAGAGGTCCACCTGTTTTCTTTCTGAGGAAAAGATGCATTTTCTTGCCTATTCTTTTTAACATCCTGATACTTCTGACAATCTGATGCTGATGTGCCAAAAGATGAAGTATCTCCTTATTTGTGAAACCTGTCCTAAAGCACATTTCCACTAAACACACAGCCCTCATTTTATCAACTGTACTCCTCTAAAACAGGACAGAAGATTTGCGAGAATATCAGTTCAGAATATTTGCGTTTGTTGTCATAATTACAGCAATTCCATTTGTTTTTAATGTGGCCCTAAATAATAGTATCACTTACTATTAGATAATACTACCTTATAATAGCCGTAACTATGCATAAATGCAAAAGTCCTGGAGAAGCTGAGCTAAATCAGCTTAGAAAATCTAATCAATACAATACAGCCATGTATACTATCTTAAAAGTACAAAATCTTTGGAATAGCTTTTAAGATCTGACTGACTCTTGTTCGATCATCTCGGCCTGAGGGTGGTTGAGGCGCTTGGCGTCGACGGCGTCCTGGTCCAGGCCTCTCAGGAGGTCCAGAGCACTGAGGATTCTCTTGTTGGTGTCATCCTGATACAGAGGCTGCTTCCCCTCGTTGATCTTACTCACGTCCTGCAATAGAAACACAATAAAAAGCAGAAAAACACAGTCAGACAAACTCTTCAAGAGAGGAAGTTTAGTTTTTGTATTCATCCTCCTTGTTATTTTTTCTTTTATTTTTGTATTAATGATTCAAATATTTTTTCAAATGGTGGCTTTGGTGAAATGAATTTGAAAAGCTTTAGAAAGATATGATCATTGCTTATCAACATAAGATTACACTTTAACATTACACTTTAACATTACACTTTCACGTAAATCTTTACTGGTGGATCTTTAATCTCTAATTAGTTATACTTTCCAGAGACTTCTATTGGTGAGATTTTAATGACTGAGGATAAAATACACGCAAAAGGTAAACTTTTTACTGGATTTATTGCATTTGGTTGAATTTCATCTTGCTATCTAATTCCCAATATAGATGAAGCTGATTCTCAAGCAGAATTCTGGGAGAGTGTTATTGAGTTGATTAGCGATAATGACTCAAATGAACTGTACAGAGTAGTTAATATTAACTGCTTTGAGATCCATCCATCCACTTTTTATATGTGCCTATTCCAAGTAGAGTTGAGGTGAGGTTCACCGGTCCATAAGCACTTTGTGACAGATGTACCTTGTTGAGGTTCTGCTCAACATCGTAGATGAGTTTTTCTACTTTGTCGGCATTCTTCTGCAGCTTCTCGATGAGCGCGCCCAGCTCCGACGTGGTGGTGCTGAGAGGGAGAAATCAAAGGAGATATTTAGTGATGTCTCAGACAAACCTCTCTAATGATGCAATTTTCGAATTGGGCAGTTTCTCCATGGGCCAGCACCGAAAACCCTTTCTGACAGGTTAGAGCCATATGAACCAGCTCAGACTTTGAGAACCTCAGGTTCTGGTCTCCTGATGGGGCCCAGAGTCAGAACTGAACAAGGTGAAGCTTCATTTCAGTTTCATGCTCCTAAAATCTGGAACAGTCTTCCTGAAGACCTGAGACAGGCCTCAACTCTGTCAATGTTTAAATCCAGGCTTAAATCGGTTCTGTTTAACCGTGCATTTTTGCTCAACTCACTCTGTAATGAATGATAGGCAACAGCAGTCTTCATATTAGGCTCTAAAAGCTTTAAGAGAACAAAATGTGAGTAGGAAATTGAGCTTTACTGCACACAGCCCCGTCCATATCTTTGCCTCAAGCAAAGCAAACTGGCTTTGCAGGCCTCTCCTTCATCTCCTCTATCTGACAGTCCCAGAACCAATTATTAACCATAAAACTGTCTCCAGAACTATGTGCAGGTGTGCCAGCAAAGCACAGTTTAGGAAGTTTAAAGCTGGTTTTAGCGGATCAAAGACTGATGGTGTGTGCTTTTTTTTCATTTACATTATTTAATCTATCAAAGAGAAATGACAACATGAGGACATTATGTAATTCTTCATATGCATATGCTCTGTAACTAGTAACAAGCTCAACATTGCAGTATTGTTGACACAACAGAGCTTTAATTCTTTAGCCAACATGTTGCAGGGATAAAGAGCAGGGCTTTCACTGTCGTTATGACACGGTTAAAACCAAAAGTGAGACACAGGCTGAGGCAAGCCATGATGCAAATTCAGACTCTCTATTTTGGGCTTCTTCTCTGGACATGCAATAGAGCAAAGATTTTAAAAGTCTGTTGCATGAGCCTAACCCTGACCCTGCAAGGCCCGGGCCCACAAGCTAAAATCTCATTATTTCATTCCTATTTTGTACTTTTATACGCTTATAGTCCAATTTGTCATGGGGCTGGCGCTTGATTTCATTGCAATACCATCCATTTATCAGGAACTTAAAGTGGTTCTACGCCAAACAAATAGAAGAAACACCACAAATTGGTAGGAGAGAGTAGCTTCTTTGTAAGCGTTCCAACAGTGTTTGGGGGGAAAACACTGTCATGGAAGTAATTATGTCATGGAAATCATTCCCCCTGTTTTACACTGGCAATAATCTACTGACTCTGCTGGCTACACTAGCCAACATGCTTGTTTTAAATTAGTATTTAATATCTAGTATTTAAATTAGTATTTAATATATACTATTCTAGTGCTTTTTAGTATTTATATGTTGTGTGTAATGTCTTAAGCTACTGGGACCTTGAATTTCCCCCAGGGGATCAATAAAGTATCTATCTATCTATCTATCTATCTATCTATCTATCTATCTATCTATCTATCTATCTATCTATCTATCTATCTATCTATCTAATAAGGCGTCCTCATACTGTATGTTACCAAACTGACTGTGTCAGGTATTCAGTTAGTTATCAAATAGTTTCTGTGTGTGTTCACATGCGTGTTTCCAGCGCGTACACATCTCTAACACAGACGGTGAGGATTCAGCCGGCCCCTAATAACAGTTCCCCCCCCCCCCCCCCCCCCCCCCCCCCCTAAACCCTGTGTAAACAGGTTACATAACGCCTGCAGGATGCCCGCCGGACAGTGTAATCCCCGAGCCGGTGGTTTAAAAACAACGGCAGAGCAAGTCGGCACTGGTGCCTTCTGCTGCGTTCTGCACAGGCAGCTGGCAGGGTTTGGGTTGGAACACATCCAAACGCAACACACTCGGGGGGGGATTTCTGTCTTATCAGGAAGCCCAATAGAAAAAAGGACAGTTTGCCCATTTTACTCGGGCCTCAAGAATGAAAACATTCAATGCATCATACGTAATAATGCATTGATTATCATTATTTGTATGTCTTCTCTATCATATGAATATGGATTATCACTTTAAGATAAATAAATGGTCATTTATTAGCGGCTCGGCTAAATATTCTGAGATTATAATATTGTTGCTTGATTATGTTCAGTGCTGTAACCAAAGTTGTTTTTGTTCTGGACAAAACAGAATAAAAAAACCTGGCACCAGAGAAGCTTTTGGTGTGTTTTGCACAGGGGAAAAGGGTCAAATTAGAAACAGATCACTGCAGCACTGTGTCATGGAGGGTGTGGTGGGCCGCTGCAAACCCTGAGCTCTGCGCTATCTCAGCCGATAAGAATTCCCGAAACAGTGGCTGTTCCCCGTCCCTCTTTGGGGATTTCTCTCCTCCAGTTTGCACTCATTTGGCATCTCTTTGGAGTTCCGGCTCAAACCTGAGAAAGAACAACAGTGCAAACAGAGCCGGGAGGGTGGAGCTGCTATGTTAGCGTTGCGTGACTGCCTGTTGGCGGTTGTAATGCCCCAGGAGGAGTCCGCCATGGAGATGAGAAGGGAAAAGGAACAAAAAGTTCAAAGAAACACGAAAACTAGTATGGACTTCCTAAATCACAATAACAAATTGAGATTTCTGCAGGGCGGAGAGCATAAAGTACACGAGGTTCCAGTTGCCTTCATGACAAGTGTGGAAAGAGCACACTTTAAACTCATGCTATATAAATGAAAAAAGAAGGGAAAAACAACTAAATTCAACATTAAAGAGACTCCAGTCACAGTAAAAGATATCCATCTCAAATGCCTGGGTTCTGTGACCCAGGTCAAATGAAAATGATTCATTTTGCAGCCTTAATTTTTCCCATCCACCGATGCAATCAAGAGGAATTCAAATCCAGTGAACCTACGGGTGTAAGGCTATTGGGCGATAGGTGTAAACGATACCATGGGAGAGGCTCGGATAAATTCCTGCTGCGTTATGGAGGGCGTCGGAAATCCAGTTTGTGCACTTTGTAACACTCTGCTTATCAGCCACACCCACTCCAGAGTCACAGCACATATTGTGCAATAGAATCAGCCACTTCTGTTGTTCCTAATTGAAAAAATCGTTCTGAAAATGCTTTCTTCGAATCATTTCGAAACACACACACATACACACACACACCTCTTATATTAACCATTTCATGGATGAATTATGATCATTTCAGTCAGGATTTTCTCCAAAGCGTTTGTGGTTTTGTTAAGTTATTGAACAAGGTGACATTCCTTTTTATTTTTTTGGTTAAAAAAAGTGTTTATTTAAAGGATTTTTTCCAGGTGCCCACTCAAGTGGACAGCACATCTTTTCAGATTTCTTACTCATTAACAACTGTTACTGTTACAATCTGAACATGTATATTTGACGCATAAACATAAAACTCTGCATCCAACTCTCATCCAACTCTAATATTCTCTACCATCTCATCATTTTTCTAATTTATTCAACCCCTTGATTTATTTTATGTGACCTCAGCTCCTCTTTAACTGACTTATTATGGACATTTGGACATTTCAGTTGCCTGTGCTCATTTAAAACATTAATACCAATATATACATATAATAAAACGGCTTATTAGGTGTATATGTGTATGATCTATATAGGTATAGGTGTGAAAGGATAAAATGTTTTATAAAACACCCATGCAGAACCACTTTTTAACTGGTTTCCCTGCAAAAAAGGGTGCGCCTTTTTTATATAGTTTTTAACACACACCATTCGGAGAAAAAACTAAAAGATATTAAAATGACTTAATTAGTCTCCATTTAATTCCAGCTTATCACATCATTTTAATGTGTTATCAACTTGTGATAAATAAATAAAAAGGCTGCGCAACTAGAACCGGTCTTGCGCGAAATTCTGTTGTTCCGAAACGATCCGGTCCCCTCCCAAGTCAAGAGGAGAGGTCACAGCAACCGAGTCCACGAAAAACACCGAATAATGGTTCCAGGAACCGTATCGTGACAGCTATAGAGGGCACAAACTGAGATAAAGACAAAAAAAACTACTGAGGAGAGTAAAAGTGTACTTACGTTGTGGTCGTTTTGGGCTGCGTTATAGCGGTGGACTTGGTTTTTTTCCTGAACATGGTGGCAGGTCAGCTGTCAGCGTCTTCTCTTTTTTTTCCTGAGCACAATAGTCCCAGCTGGACAGGTGAAGCTCAGCTGTGCGTGTGTGTGCGCGTGTGTGTGTGAGAATGGGGGCTGTGTGAGCGATATTTCCGCACTTCCCTCTCGGTGTCAGCGCGTCTCCGCTGCGCAAACAGTGACCCACGCACCACCGGTGACACTCACTTTTACTGTTCACACGCCCACCGCGTACCTGCCAGATACCAGAGGACAGGCGGGGCGCGGAAACACGCACGCCCTTTTACTACAGACGCTGGGGAATGCGTCATTTTACAGGCATTTGCGCGCATAGTTTTATATACATAACTTAACTAATTCTATTACTCTTATAAGAGATAGCAGATGGTAAATAACGACCATGTTTTTCAGGTAAATTGAACTAGTTTAAAATGGGTTTTTTTCTAAATTAATGCCAGAAACCGATTTGGGCGTGTCCATGTGCTGTTTTATGGTGCCGTTAAAAGAAATGGAAATTGTTGGAAAAATAAAAATATATGTAGACTGAACTGATAAAACACCAACATTTTGCTAAACCCCAACTTCACTCAAAATAGTTTTTAAAAATCCTGCCAATTTGTATTCTTTACACAGTAAATGTGGAATAATTTGATGAAAAATGAAGTAGGCCTGTCACTTATCACACATTTGAAAAACAAAATGTAAAATTTGTGGTAATTTGTTTGTTTAAGGTGTAACAAAGGTTTGATCATTTTATACCTGATACCTAAAACAGTATGTCTGACCCTAATTACTTTTTGACAGTTATTAGCCACCTGGACTACAGCTGGGACTATTTACTGTCAAAAAATATGTCAACTTTGTGGTTTGTTCGGTTTGCTGCTGCATAGCTACTCCGTGAAGGGGTCTCTGCAAAAATGTGAAGTCTTTGGTATCTAAATGTGTGGAAAAATAACTTTAAAAAACATTTGACATTGATAAGATGATTAGATGGATGCTGGGTGAACACTGAGATGGCTGTTTGCTTGATTTGGGGTTCTTAAATGCATTAGGTGTTGTAGGTGCATCTGTGTGTGAGTGTGTGTTTTTTTTTGTTGTGAGCGTGGGTGGATGCCACTGTGGGTGTGGCACATCTGGCTCAACCTGCCAGACTGGACGTGTGTGTGAGTGCTGTGGGCACCATAGTGATACAACAACACCATCAGAGACCATTTTGTTTCTATGTCCTTTCTAGCTTCTCCTTAGTCAATATGGGATATTTTCATACCATTATGGAACTTCATTAATGTTAAATCATATCTTGAGTCGTTCCCCAAAAGAACCCACAGTGACAAAGGCGTAACAGCCTATTTAAACTAAAATACAATCACAGTTTTTTTTATATTTTGTGGTTGTACCTGAATTATACAGATTTTTAAATGTGATAAATATGTTCATTTGGTAAGTTTTCTATTCCCTATAAATGTTATTTAGGGGGAAATGGGTCTGGACTCTTATGGGTTGATCTAATTATACGTAAAAGTTCTGGGACAAGTTTCTCCCAGCTGCCACAGTACACCATGGACGGATCACCAATTTATTATAGTGGTAAATAAGTAAATTTAGAAGAAAATGTTTTAAAAGAAAATCCATAATCACCCTTTTAACTGCAGTCTATTATTTAATTTCAACTCGTGTTCCAGAATATTGAATTGCTTATGATTTCTTCATTACAATGGGCTTTAAATCAATGAACGCAAATACACTGCGTTACCTGGCAGTTTGAGTCTTTTCCCCCTTTTTAGTTTCTCAGGACACCTATAAATTATGTTTCCAATTGTTTAACTTTTTTTCCAGTCTCTGGCAGCTCAAGAAAAAAATCTGTGGTCTCTTTTTGTGCATGAAATAATAACATAAACAAACTGAAAGAAATGTGTATTAACTATTAGCTAGTGTTAACTGGACCAACAGGCCAACTACTGTACTTAGTTAGTATAAAAAAAACACTTGCCACATGGCCTGTATGATGCACATAATAAATAAACTCTACACTCATGGCTGAGATGTAACAACAGACACCAAGCATAAACAGTAAACGCACATTAAGTTAATGAATGCAATAGTTACTCACTTAGCGCATTCAATTTAAACGTCCAATAAGCAGTCCAATAAAAACACAGTCCAAAAGGAAGGACAGTTTGGACCCAAATGTCAAATCTTCCAAATGTAAGTAATTTGTCAGTAATAACTACAAACCACACCATAACACCATAAGATCATATAACGACTAAAAACTGTTCTGGAGCCAAAGGTGGTGGACTCTAACTGGAGGAATCTGACCACAGACTTTATTAATAAGAATTTATAAGAAAAGCTCTGCGCAAATCTGAACACTCATTACAATATTAAGGTGTGAAGGAGAGAATAAAAGAGGGGGAGGATTGCCTCTCTCACTTTATATACACTGTTGCTGTACTTTGTGTATTTCCACATTCTGCGATGGTAGAAAAGGGTTTCTTTGTCATTTAATGATAGATTTCTCTGTTAGTGGATCACACTAAAAGGCAGTATAGTTTGGAATAGTTTTATTTTCATACCTCATGCCTTATTCTACTAGAGTTTTTTTATTGATTATATGTGCAAGGACAGCACAACTGCATCTGGTGCAAAACATCTGGCAGTAAACTGGCACCATGCAAAAAAGGGCAGGCAATAAACAACAAACAATAGAATTACTTATTCTACTAGAGATTTATTACCGATTTATGACCTCGCAGTATGAATTCAAACACAGCCTGTGTCGGCACAAAAACAGTTCTGGTCACTTCCTGACTCGAAGCTTTGGGACGAGCGCCGTGTTCGTCGAACACTCATTTTTTCCATTCCTTTACAGGAAAAAGGTTGTTTCACTCAGCAGCAGTTAAGTCATCACCTCTCAGGCGTGGAAGTGAATGCTGAGAGCAGCTGGAGGAAGGAGATACTCACAGTGTTTGTTGTGTTTCTGTGTTTTCTCGTCCTGCATAGGGAAACAGTAGTAAAAGACCGGGTTTAATCACTTCACTGACACTCAATGAGGCGTCCAAAACTAAACTTTTTGCTGTTACAATTAACAAGCGTAAATAATAAAATAAGATGTCAAACAGACAAAGACTCAGCACTCCTGTGCAAACAGCCCGAGTACCTGCTGGAGGTCCCACTTTGAGAAAGCCAAACAAAGGAATTTAACTGCAAACAACACAAATGAAACCATAGGCCAATTAAACTGGTGTCATGGAGGTGGATCTTGGAGGGAGGACTCAGTCGCAGAGAGATTCAGGAACATGGGTTTTATTTAAACAAAAACACACTCAAAAGGAGTGGATGGTCGACAAAGTTCAAAACAAGGCTGTGAAAAAAAACTATGAACAAAGTAACAAAGCAAGATTAACATGACTGTGAAGAAACATGGCCGTGGCAAAAAAAAACGTGGCTATGGCAAAGTACAAACAAGATTAACATGGCTGTGGCAAAAACAAAGGCTATGGCAAAAAATAAACTAGGCTATGGCATGGCTGTGACTAAATCAAACCTGACGTGGCGAGGGGTGACGAGAATAGAAAGACGAAAACGCACTGGCACAGGACATGGGAAACGAGGACTATTTAAACACATGAGGAGGGGAACCCCAGGTGAACACAATAGGTAATCATGACATAACGAGACACCAGACGTGACACCTTTTCTGTTTGTGAACTAAGATACGAACAGAATCAGTGACAGATGGTAGCTTGGAGTTGGAACTTTTCAAATGTTTTAATATGAGATACGTTTATTTATTTATTTTTACAATGTATTCATTCTCATTTTTGAAAGACACCCTTAAGATGTGTCTCATTCATTTTGGTTTTGCCCGTTTTCCACCAAATTGTGGAAACATAATTTGGTGGAAATGTACCACCAAATTATGACTCGAGACTCGAGAAGGACGGAAAACAAAACCGTGTTTATCTGCTTGTATGTTCGCCACAAAACGCCACCCAATTAAGTGAATTCCAGGTCAGCCTCAGACTTGAGACGATCCCTTAGCTGTCGATTTGTCCAAATCTAAAAGTGTTTTGCTTCAGGTTTCTTTTTTTGGTTTCCAAAATGCAAATTTTCTCTCTAAAATGTCAACTTATTTCCTATTATGTAAGTTGATTTTCTGAAATGTGAATTTGTTCAGTAAAATGTAAATGAATCTGTTCTCCAAATGTAAAGTTTGTTCCTGAAATGTAAATGTTTTTGTTTAAAACTTATTCAAAACTGTTTCCCAATTTGTAATGTTGGTTTGCACCTCCTGGCCACCGTAGTCATTGATTGAGAATTGTATCGGTAAAGAACAACCGAATTGAAAATGAGTAGGATATATTGGGTTTTCTTTCTTTTGAGTTGTTTCAGCTCACAGACTCAGACATTTTTAAAACCCAGCCTCTCCTGTAATGCTACAGTGCCTCAGCCTTTACTTACATTGTGGCTTTGGCTGGATTTTTTACACCGGATACTCTCCCTGGGGGGACCTTTGCATTTATATGTGCTTTTATCTGTAAAAACAGGACAGAGGCAACGTCTAGCCATAGGACAGAAGCCTGTAATTGGAGCACTGACCTGCCCACTAACAGACACATTTACTCTTTACAGAATTTACAACAGAAAGAAATCTTTAATCTATTCCAATTCAGTTTGAAGTTATAAAATTAACTAAGAGCCCTTTCGTGAAGATGTGAGGTTTGACTTAATATTCAGACTGATAAGATTAGATGATTTGACTAAAACTGAATTAAACAACTGATTTTTGGAGGTTTTATCCTTTTTTCCCCTTTCTTTCTGTTGGTTTTAATGTTGTTCTGTTGAGTGAATCATACAGGTAGCTAAAATGGACTGTACCATCCATGTACATCTTTTTTTAATTGGCAGAGTAAAACAATCATTTTTAAAAGGAGGGCATTCCGGAGATATTTCTAAAGCATTTCAACAGTCCAAGCCCTTCAGACTCCCCCCAGCATAACACAGCAGGTGGGTTTCTGCTGTGAACAGCTGGATCTCACAGTGTCATCAGCAGGTAATGGCCACTCTGGATGTTTTACCTCCCTGTCTGCATTCTTTCACTAATCCACCGACGGGAGGGGGAGGCACAATGGAGG